TTTGCAACAGAACAATGGAGCATCTGAGTGTCAGCAGCTCGTGGCTGGCTGCAGGTCCTTGTGAAATGCTCCGATTGAAGCTTGGCACCTCAGCCTGTGGAACAAGTGGGAGCTGAGGTGGCCCCACAGCCTTTGCTTCGCTGCCGTTTTGTGATGCGTTGCAGGACTTTACAGCTCCGTTTGCAGCCTTGGAAGGAAGCGTGGTGGTTAGAAGTGCCTTTGCGTGGACGCTGCTCCCACAAACCTGCATTGCAGAGCTCACACGCTGCTGAAGCAGGGCAGAATTTGGTGCCTATCATTTGCACGATGCCCCTCACTGCTCCTTGCTGCCTCCACTGAGGTGTTCTGCCCAGATCCTGCTCCCCTGACACAGCACTTCCAGTTTCAAGTCTATGGTTGCCAGGCTGAGTCCATTCCCTTCCTCCTCTTTTTTTGCACAAACATTGGGATGTTTGATGCTCCCTGGCAGGATGGTGCTCACCTACCAGTGTAGGCAGAGGGGCTGCATCAGCCTGCCCTGCTGCGCAGTGCTCTGAAGGCTCTCATGCAGTTCAGTTGGTTCTCTTGGAGGACGCTGCACAGCTGTGGCTGACGTCACCTGGGATGGGAGCAGATGGAAGAACCTACCAGACGTTTGTGCTTCCTCTTTTTCACCTTGTCCCCCTCCCCTTTTTCCTTTAATATGCTTTAAGTGTTGAGCTGCTGTTTGACAGCTATTAGAGGCTATGGACCATGCAGTTGCATTGCTGTCCCTCTGCCTCGTTCTTGGTTAGATACAGAATCCTGGGATAATTCGGCCTCGGGGTCATTCAGGGCTCAGAGCAGAGCCATGTAATTATTGCACTGGGATTTCATGTGGTCTAAATCAAACTTTTAACGTGGAAAAGTGTGTTCTGGGGCTCTCTGCAGAGAAACCAGCAGCGAGCTCCTCTGCCTGTGCTCAGCAGCAGCTTCCCCAGGTGTGGATAGGAGAAGGAATCCCAGGCGTTGTGTTCTGCCCGAAAGCTTGTCCAAAGCCCTTTCTCGTGTTGTCTGCTTCAGGTCTGCTTGTGCCTTCTGCTCTGCTTCTAGCTGTAAGAGGAGAGCGCAGCGCTTCCCTGCTGCAGGAGAGGCAGCTCATCCCGCTGACGCACGCAGCAGCCAGGGCTCAGTGACTCCTGTGTTTAGTGGTTTGGCAGTTTCTCAGTGCAAGGTCAGTATTTTGACTTCATACTTCAGGAGAGGGATTTCAGTATTCCGTTTCGGCGACGTTCCTTGGCCCCAGCCCTCGTTCAGCATTCATTGCAGCCAGGTCAGCACCCACCTTCCCTTTCCCCTGACCCAACCCTGGGACTCGCAGAGCTGTGACCTGCGGGTCAGCTGTGCTGGGCTGAGTCTGCTCAGCTTACAGCTGTCTTCCTGAGCGTGGCTTTGCTGGGACGACGTGGCACCGCAGCTCCTGGTGCGCTGTTTTATTTCAAACAATGGCGATGTCACGACGAAGGGTTCTTGAAGTGAAGAGTGCAGATGAATGGAGTATTCCTCAGCCTGCCCTCCCTGCTCCCTCCCGACAGGAAAGGAGTGGTGCAGAATGCACACTGAATGGCATTTCCTATTTTGTGAAGCTGGCAGCATGTAAAAACCGAGTCCATGCGGGACAGCTGCAAGAAAAAAAAATTCACCTGCCCATTAAATAAGCTTAAATTGCAGTTTTTCTGGATGAAAACATTGCAGACATGCCCAGTGAGCATCGCAACAGACTGGGTTTGTTTTCTGAGAGCAAGGAGGTAACGCTGGGCAGTTCCTTGGTCTGTTTTTCAGCTGCAGTAAAAATATTTCAGCTCTGCTTCTGCCAACACAAGCCCTGTTTGTCTGAGCCCTCTTCTGACCAGGGCGACTGGCTGCCATGCAGTTTGTGAACAGTTTTGTGAAGGAGCTGAAAGCATTCTTCCCTGTCTGATATCTGCTCAGGGTTACCTGAGCAAGGCTTCAAGCAGCAGTGAACGCCCAGCAGGCAGACTGGTGTCACTGGTGTCACTGAAAGGCACGCTTGTCTGAGTAGCATTTCAGTCCAGGTAAATGCAGTTTCACCACCAGCACTCAGCTTCAAGACCCTCAGCAGCCCATCCTCGACTGTGCGCTTACATCTCTTAGTGAAACAGGTTTTAATTGACATCTTCCTGCGTGTGCTGTGAGAATGGAGTCAAAGCCTGCAGAAATAGGATGTTACATGTGTTGGGTGGTAGGAAATAGCAAAGAGCTGCCATGGGGGGGTAACCCAAACCAGGAGGGGTTTGTAGCAGAAGGACCTGGGAGTTCTGGTGGCCAGGGGTTGGCCATGAGCCAGCAGCATGCCCTGGAGGCCAGGATAGGCAAGGGGGCCCAGGAGTGCATTGTGCACAGCCAGCAGGGAGAGGGAGGTGATCTCTGCTGTGCCCTGGGGAAGCCGTGTCTGTGTTCAGTGCTGGGCTCCCCAGTGCCGGGCAGGCAGGGGTTACCTGCAGCACAGGGCTGCACAGATGGCAGGGATCTGGGGAACAGCCAGATCAGAGGGATGTGGGGCTGTTCAACCCAGTGAAGAGAGGGCTGAGAGGGGATCTCATCACTGTGTATAAACACCTGAAGAGCAGAGGAGTTACCAAGTCAATGATTAATGAAGAATTCCCCACGTAATGTGGATGGCGGTGTCTGCTCTCATGGTAGGGTGCCTTTGCTGGACTGTCTGCATTCTGCAGATGTTGTTTTGCAGAATGGGTTCCCAGCCTTGCCAGCTAACTCTTTTCTTTATTTGTACTGAGTGCATTTCAAGTTGCATCATTTCCTCGGTCAGAGCAGTTTTATTTTTGACTGCAGTGTTTGTCAGGTGGGAGAAGCCCTTAATGTGAGTGCTCTCTGGTGGCGAAGATTTCTGCTTCAGCTCTGATCTGTGTGATGTTTTCCAGTGGCAATTAGACACGAAGGTGGGACGTCTGTGTGTATACAGCTGCAACCTGTCCCCTCGCTGCGGGTTGCTTCTGAGGTGCCGAGTTAATAAGTGGAAAGGTCAGTTCTCCTCCTCGGCCTCGCCGTGCAGCAGGATGGGGTTGTGGTGATGTGTACAAAAGGGGCCTGACCCTGGAAGTGTCAGCTGCCTGGAGCAGGGCAGCTCTTCCTCTCAACACATGTTCTGTGTGTGGCTTTCAGTAAAAATCCCGCTGCTGAGTGGATGTTGGGGCACCCGAAGAGCCCCTCTGCTCTGCTGAGCGACCCCTCCTTGCAGCAGAAACAAACACAAATGCTGCTCACACCTCGGGCAGCTTAAGTTTGCTTAAGTTTTCACGAGTTCTCCTCGGGCGAAGCAAAGCAGGGCTCAGAGCAGAGCAATGCGGTAGGAAAACAGCCGCTGCTGTTCTTGGCTGCCGCAGCCGGCGGATGAAAAGCAGCTTTATCAGCAGCGAGGGGCGGCTTGGGAGCTTCGGATCACAGCACTGGGGCGCCTCAGTGCTGGGCAGTGGGGAGGAGGGAGCAGGAGGTGAGCAGGAGTGTCGCTGAGAGCCGCGCTGGCTGAGATGCACATCTGCCAGCCCGCAGGGAACCTCTCCTCATGGAGACACGGAGTGCCTTCGGTTGGAGGGGACCTTAAAGCTGGTCTGCTCCCATCCCGGTGCTGTGGGCAGGGCTCGGCCGCGGCTCGACACCCTGCACCTGGCTGTGTTGGACCTCGCTGAGCTCTCGTGTGCCCAGTTCTGCAGCCTGTCCAGGTCCCTCTGCACGACGTCCCTTCCTCCTCTCATAGCGGCTGCACCGCTCAGCTCGGCGTCCCCTGCAGCAGCTGAGGTGCACCGATCCCGGCTCTGTGTCACTGATGAAGGTATTGAACAGCACTGAATACGGCCCCTGGGGCAGCTGCACGTGGATCCACTGAGTGCAGCCCTGTGGCTGCAGCCATCCAGCCAGCCCTTGGTGCAGCTCACAGCCCGTCTTTCTCCAGCACAGAGATGGGGACGTGGTGCAGGGCCGTGCCAGAGGCCTCGCACAACTGCAGGCAGCCACAGCAGCCGCCCTCCATTTGTCCACAATGCTGTCACTCCATCTTCCTCCTCCTCCCTCTGCCGTGCACCCTCCAGCTGTGGGGCTGTGCCATAAGCCTCTGTTGCTTGTGTGTTACCCATCCTTTCTGTAGCAGTAGTTTGGGAAGAGCTGCTGTGCTGCAGTTGGTAATGCTAATTGTTATTGCCTTCTCTTTTCTAATACATTTTTGGTAGCTTCCAAGCAGCTTATCACAGAAATGTGAAAAACTTTACTTGTGAAGTTTTGGGAAGTGCGGATTGGGACTGCGGGAACAAACAGAGCTTTTGCAGTTCTTGTGACTTTCCATGTAAGTACTTTGGAGCTGGAGGCAGCGTGGCTTTGAGAACGTGGAGTGCTGGTGCCTGGATTGTGTTTCTCGAGGTTGTCACACCTGCTACACCCAAACCGTCCCAAGACCCTGCAGAGAACCTCGGCTGGATGGTAGAGGATGTCACAGCTGTCACCACGTGGGGGTGGTGATAAATTCAGTCGAGCAGTGCTGGTGTTTGTGCTGCACCTCCTCGCCTGCAGAGGTGTGATGGTGCCATCTAATGTCGTGAGGCTTAAATACACCGCTCGTCTCACTCGTCCTTGCTTAGTGCCAAGGATAAGAATTAAATCTCAGAATTGTTTTTGTTAGCGTACTGATGGAAGCAGAGACACCTGGTGATGCCTGAAGCCAGCTTGTGTGTGCTGGTGAGCCAGAACTTTGCTATCCTCAAAGTCAGTCTGTTGGTGTGGCAGTAATCTGATCCACTGTGCGTCTGTAAGTGGAACAGCAGTAGAGATTTCCTTCGTGCAGGGTGAGATTCCGAGCTGCTGGGTCGTACTCCTTTTTCCATGGAGAGCTGGGTCAGCATGGGCCACGCTGCTGCAGCCGGCTGTACTCCACGCGCTGATGAGTTAATGGCAGCCCACTTGGAAAACGTGCCGAATTTCTCCTGATCTTTCTCCCTTTTTGCCTCAACCAGGTTTGAAAAAGGACGGATCTACACCTTTATTGGAGAAGTGGTGGTTTCCATGAACCCTTACAAGAACCTGAACATCTACGGGCGGGACACGATCGAGCAGTACAAGGGCCGGGAGCTCTACGAGAGGCCACCCCACCTCTTTGCCATCGCTGACGCCGCGTACAAAGCGATGAAGAGGAGGTCGAAGGACACCTGCATTGTGATTTCTGGTGAGCTGAGAGCTCTTCCTTATGGTGAATGCTTACCTGACCCAAGGGCTGGTGTCGTAGAGTCACAGAACGGCTTGGGTTGGAGGGGACCTTCAAGACCAGCCAGCAGCAGGTTTGCCAATGGCTGGCTCAGCCTCGCCAGTGGATGTGTCACTGACATTGGTCACTTTCTGCTTGCAGAAGGTTGGGCGGTGTGAAGTGTCACCCCGGAGAAGTGCTGAGCTCTGCCCTCTGATGGCTGCTCAGCGCTTTGTTCTCTGTTCAGGCTGTTTGTGCATCACGGTGCTGACAGCAGGAGCTCGGTCTGTGCCATGAATGGTCGCTATCTGGATCCTGGCACTCCGTTTCCTTGATGTCCCCGGCTCTGAAAAGCTGAGATATGTGCTGAACAGTGGCCCCTTGTACTGCATTTCCTAGCTCTGCTGCTGCCAGTCCTTCTCCTCTCACAATATTCCTTTTGATGCTCTGTGTGCCGACCTGGGAAACCTTACATCAAACCGCGCAGCAGCAGCAGCAGGCACAAATAAACTTGCTTTAACGAACAAAACCAAAAAGCCCCAGACATCATCATGGTAGGATTGGGGTGCTGCTCAGTGATGCGCTTTGGTATTTTCAGTCTGTTGTCCCTTTTCTGTGCCCTCAGGTGAAAGCGGGGCTGGGAAAACAGAAGCCAGCAAGTACATCATGCAGTACATTGCAGCCATCACCAACCCGGGGCAGAGGGCGGAGGTGGAAAGGTAAGGGCTCTGCAGAGGGGTCCTGGCTTTGTCCCTGGGTCTCTTTCTGTCTTACTGACAATCTCCTACTTGCATGCTGATCTGGCAGCATTTTCTTCAGACACAATTTTTCTTCTGGCAGTTTTGCAATATTGCTTGCTAACAACCCATAGAAAAGTGAGGAAGAACTCAAGCCTTCAAACTTCCAAAGTTGAACCAGCATCTCAAAATCACATTTCCAGTGGCAACTTGCCTGAAGTATGTGAATGAGAATAGAACATTAAGCACTAGGGGCATTTCTGTGTCCTTTAGGGTCTGCTACTCCTGAACTGCAATGTGTCTGTCACTCCTAAAGAAAATGGCTTTCTACTGAAACAGATTGTATATCTATTTTGAGTTCTTTTTGTCCCAATGTTGGCGAAAGAGGTCAAGAAATTACCTCCAAAACTTGTCTGTGTAAAGGAGCTGTGCTTTGATTGCTGCTGTTTGCAGTGGGATCGTTGGTTCCCCTTTGCTCAGCTCTGAGGAGCAGTACCAGGAGCTCCCAGCTGATTTCCTGGGGAGTTGCTGATGTTTTACACACCTGCCTGAATACAAAACCAAAGAGCATTTCTGCTGTTGCTCACATCTCTATAGATGCTTGCAAAAAAGTTCTGTGGTTTGGGTACAGAGCTCATCCTGTTCTCTTTTATCTGTACTAAAGAGTGAAGAACATCCTGCTGAAATCCAACTGTGTGTTGGAGGCCTTTGGCAACGCCAAAACGAACCGTAACGACAATTCCAGCCGCTTTGGGAAGTACATGGACATCAACTTCGACTTCAAAGGAGACCCAATCGGTGGCCACATCAACAACTACTTGCTGGAAAAGGTGAGCTCAGTTGTTGGCCGCTGCCTCAGAAGCACTGCTCTGCTCTTTTGATGAAAGCTCGTGGCTGCGCCTCGCTGGCAGCGCTCAGTATGGCCTTGGTGCAGCAGGAGGTTGGTTTGGAGCTGTTCTGCCTGGGCTCAGCTGAGCTTTGCTTCCAGTGCTCAGCATCCAGGTGCAGAAATCCCCACCTGCTGTTCTCTCTCTCCCTGCAGTCTCGTGTGATCGTGCAGCAGCCAGGAGAGCGGAGCTTTCACTCTTTTTACCAGGTTGGTATCCAGTCGGGTCCCAGACATGCAGGCAGGCAGGTAGAGCTTTCGCACCCTGTGTGTTTTGCAGAGGGTTCCCCTGCTGCAGCTGATCCTGTGTAGTGGTGTGAAGAGGGGAAGAGCACGGGGAGGTTTCTCTTTTCCATTTCCAGTCCCATACTGATAATCTGCAAACTTGAGAGTAACCAGGCAGGTGTGGCAGAGCGCTGGACTTTGGCTCACTGTTGTTTGTAATCCGCCGAACCCTCTGTGTTCTCTTGAGGCCTTTACTTCATATGGAAGCAATTTTATGACACCGAGTTTGCTTTCTTTATTTCTTTGAGTTCTTTTTAATGTCTTCCACTCTGTACAGCAATTCCCTCATGTGTCCTTTGGGGGAAGTGGTCAACCTATTACTGTAACCTTTATTCTCACATGGCATGTTTTTATGGTTTTGCTTGGCAAGCAGGTAAATAAGAAAAAGAACTTGTCTATTACAAAAAAAGGTAGATTTACTGTGGAAAAAATGAAGGATTTTCTTTATTTTGATTCACCTTTTTGATTTCTGTTTGATTTCCTTCAAACACAGCTCCTCCAGGGGGGGTCTGACCAGATGCTGCGCTCCCTACATCTGCAGAAGGATGCATCTGCATACAGCTACATCTCTCCTGGAGCACAGCTCAAGGTGAGTGGCAGGAAACTTGTCTTAAAGTTGTAAAGGCTTCTTAAATGTTTGAATCACTGCTGAGCTTGCAGAAGTGGGGAGCAATGTTATGGGAAGGTGACACTGTAATGGTGTTTGTAGCAGAGCTCTGGACTTTGGAGATGACTGCATGCTGGGGCTCAGTGTTCTCCAGAGGTCCCTTCCAAGCCCTACAACTCTGTAGCACACTCCACAGAAAAGAGAAAAGGCCACAAATGTGCTGTCTGTGCTGAGCAGTACTCATGAGGTCTGTGACTGCACTGTTTGTTCTGTGTTTTATGAGCAGCCTCTGCCCTTCCACTTTAAATTCCACTGGGAAAGCAGTGGGATATGCAGGTGTACAGCATGGCATTGGGATCAGTCGATCTCAGAGCAATTTTTTGCATCTGAAAAATACTGCATTACCTCTGTGTTTGCTGTGGGCTGCAGAGTCTTTGAATCATAGAATCACAGAATGGCCTGGGTTGAAAAGGACCACAGTGCTCATCCAGTTCCAACCCCCTGCTGTGTGCAGGTCGCCAACCAGCAGCCCAGGCTGCCCAGAGCCACATCCAGCCTGGCCTTGAATGCCTGCAGGGATGGGGCATCCACAGCCTCCTTGGGCAACCTGTGCCAGTGCCTCACCACCCTCTGGGGGAAAAACATCCTCCTCATATCCAACCTCAACCTCCCCTGTCTCACTTTAAAACCGTTCCCCCTTGCTTTCTCAATTCATGTCCCAAACATCTCCTTCCTGCAGTGTTCCATCAACGATGGTGCTGAGTTCAAGGCAGTTGCTGATGCCATGAAGGTGATAGGCTTCAAGCAAGAGGAGATTCAGACTGTCTACAAAATCGTGGCAGTCATTCTTCACTTGGTAAAGTTCTCTGCCCGCGGGGGTGAGGCTGCGGTTCATAATCTTGGGACAGGAATTCAACTGCCCAAAGTCTTTGTTGTGATTTGATTTCCACAAGTTCAGCTGAGCTCTGAGTGGGGATTCTTTGCTTTGGGTCAGGCTCTGCTGCTTCCTCTGACTGTGGAAGCATGTGAGTGTGCAGGCCAACCCTTCTGATGTGGTGAGAGATTGTTCTGGCTTGAATGGCAGATGAAAAATGGGCTCCTCTGTTTCATATTAACAAAAATGATTGAGAAATCTAACTTTCTTGCTACTTCTTGCAGGGGAACTTGAAGTTTTCCGTGGATGGCGATACGCCCCTGATAGAGAACAGCAAGGCTGTGTCCAACATTGCAGACCTGCTGTCGACAAAATCTGAGCTGGTGGAAAAGGCCCTTCTGTTCCGGACTGTCGCTACGGGCCGGGATGTCATCGACAAGCAGCACACTGAGCAGGAAGCCACCTATGGCAGAGATGCCTTTGCAAAAGTGAGCTGGAATCTCCTTTTTCTTCACCTGATCTCATGTAGCAGTGGAACATGCTGCTGTTGGCTGAGGTGGATCAGAGCGGCCATGCCTGTGGAAGACATTCACTATGGAGTTGTCTTTCATCACTGTGCATTTTTAGTGCTGTATAGGGCTGAATGTTTTGGGAAATAGGATTCTCGACTTCCTCAGCAGTTAAATTCAATGGGTATAGGGTGGAGGAGCAGCCTTTAGGCCTGCGTGGAAACAAAGTGCTGTCGTTTGTGGTGGAAAGGTGGGAGGCTGGTAGCACAGGGGTGGCAGTTGTCCTCCCTTTGCTAAGAAATCAAAAGGTGTGGCTGTGGAATGGGTGACGTTAGGAAGGCCCTCGATGTTTGCTTCCTGGCAGGCCATTTACGAGCGCCTCTTCTGCTGGATTGTGACACACATCAACGACGTGATTGAGGTGAAGAACTACGACACGACGGTGCATGGGAAGAACACGGTCATTGGCGTCCTGGATATCTACGGCTTTGAGATATTTGACAATAACAGGTGACACGTTGTTGGAGCACAGTGCTGCTCCTTTCCCAGGTGAGAAAACTCACCTTTTTTTTTTTTTTTTCCTGACGTTTTTGCAGTTTTGAACAATTTTGCATTAATTACTGCAACGAGAAGCTGCAGCAGCTCTTCATTCAGCTGGTTCTGAAGCAGGAGCAGGAGGAGTACCAGCGGGAGGGCATTCCCTGGAAGCATGTGAGTGATTTGGCAGGGGAGGGGTTGGTGGACCGGCACCAGGTCTAAGGTGGATCCTGGAGCAGGCTCCTCTTGAAGGCAGCGGGGCATCCGTGTCCACACCAGTGGTGCTGTCTGGAATCTGGCAGTGGGAGAAGCTCCTCCAGGCAGGGGGCGCCGTTCCATCACTGGGTAACATGGGTGCTCTCGTGCTGGGCAAATCACAGCTACCCCTCCGCTTCTGGCTTTTCCAGATCGATTACTTTAACAACCAGGTGATTGTGGACCTGGTGGAGCAGCAGCACAAAGGGATCATTGCCATCCTGGACGACGCCTGCATGAACGTTGGCAAGGTGACAGATGAGATGTTCCTGGAGGCTCTGAACAGCAAGCTGGGGAAGCACGCGCATTTCTCCAGCAGAAAGGTACTCTGCAGCCTCCTGCTCCTTTGCGATGCCTTTTCTATTGCTCAGACATAACAGAACAGAGGGACTCAGGGTCGAATCGTGACCACGAGGTATGAAATTAAATGCGGAGGAGCAGCTCTCGGCTGCAGGAATAAGCCGTCCCAGTGCGCCCCGAGCGGCCTGCGCCCAGCAGAGGGAGCTCGAGGATGTCCGATGCACGCCGCTGTCATTCGGATCGTAGGAGCTGCTGCGGCTGTGCCCTGGCATCTCATGATGTCATTGAGGACCAATGGAGGCACCGCTGCGGCTCACGTGGGATTCTTCCCAGGCTGCCGTAATACAGAGTGGCAGGGAATTATTCACACTTCTGCCTTATTGCAGCGCTGCGGGTTGTTGTGCCGTTGTCATTGGCTGCAAAATGTGCTCATCTCCACTTGTGCCTATGGTCTGCCAGGCTACTCGGCTTGCTTTGTTTGCATTGTGAATTAAAGGGCTTCGTTCCTTGCTTGGCAGCGTAATGAAAACGTGCTCACCAGCCTGGTTCATCTGAGAATTGGCGCTGAGTAATCAAATGTCATTTATTTATGAAGTGCAGTTTAATATATTGATGTCTCTCTGCTGAGAATCGCTGTTGGAAATGCATTATTCAGGATGCTGCCCCCCCCCCCCTCCTCCCTCCCACCCGTGTGTGGTGTTTTATGTAGGTCAGAAATACAGAATTAGCATGGTTGTGTAAGAAATGTGCTGAAGGCTGCCTCCGGGGAGGCTGAGCGCACAGAGCGGCTCTGGCTGTGCTTCGGTTCAGCCGAGGGTGGGAAGAACAGAAAATCATCAGTTTTTCTTCCAGATGTGACTTTCCTGAAGTGCCCTTTGTGAGTCCCTGTGTGGTGCAGGGAACATGAAATACATGCATGGTGTGTGTGCATCCCACTGCAGCATTGCTCAGCGGGGGGGGCCTTGTCAGGAGGCTGTTTGCACTGAGCTGAAGGCAGAGGAGGAATGCTGCTATAAATAATGTTTATGGAGGACATGATGTATCTTCCCGGCTTGCTAATTCCTCGTTTGAATCAATAGAGCCTTGGAAAAAATCGACCCATAAAATTCTCAGCATCATAATTATTGCTCCCCCTCTCGTGCCTTTGTCCTTTAGGTTATTTAAGACATCTTCCTCCGTGAGCCCTTATCCCATAGAGGAGGGCAGTGTGAAAGCTGAGCTCTCCAAGCTGTCCTCTTCCAGTCTGCGTTGACACAGAGGACTTGATTTCACTTTCATGGGCTGCAGTAGTTCTGCCCAGGTACCACGAAGCTCAGTGCAGGGCAGAGCTGTTCCTGAAGAGTTAAAGGACGTGTGCTGCTGTGCTGCGGGAGCAGCTCCCATCTTTCAGCCTGAGTTAATGCCTCACTGCTCCCCTGCAGAGCGTGTTGCACACTGGCTCCGTGTGGATAAGCTCTAAGGGGCTGCTGTGCCCTAAATAGTAGTGTCCTAGTTTGCCTGCTGCATGTCTGATCTGCTGTCTGCTTGGTTGTCCCGGTGAAAGCCAAACACGCTGGGAAAAATCCCGGTAAATATTCCCACTGTGAATATTTGTGGCCAAAATTACATCCCTAAAGGAAGAGTCCTTCTCTGAATTGTCCAGTATTTGCAGTAGGAGGAAAAATTCGTTCTCAGGAAGGTTTTAGGGGCGTGCTGCCACTGCTGCCAGGGTGGTGGTGGGGGCAGCATCCCTGGGGTGCTCAAGGAAAGGGGAGATGTCACACTGGGTGATGTGGTGGGGGGGGCTGGTGGTTGGATTTGGTGGCATCAGTGGTCTTCCCAACCTTGACAACCCTGTCATGCTGGTGTAGATGTGTGCTGGCTGTTGTGAATGTACTTCTCAACATCAAAGGTTCATCTTCTCAACGTCTTTAACTTCTGATTTTTCTTTTTAAATTATGTTGTAATTTCGTAGCATTGAGTGCAGTGAGAGTGAATGAATTCCAGAATCTTCTGTTAGAGGAAGGTTAGAGTTAGAGAAGTGATGAGTGTCAGCCTCAGCAAACTGGCTGTGAAGGTCAGGGTGTGAGAAGGTCTGTTCTTGTCCTCTTGACTCTTCATCTTCCAAGCTACTGGGCAGCAGTGAAGGCTGAACAGAGAGAACAGAGAGCTACAAAGACCAGCCAGGCCTGGAGCATCTCCCTTGCAGGGAAGGCTGAAAGCCCTGGGGTTGCAGTGGGGCACTGCAGTGGTCCCTTGCAGCCCCTGCAGCTCTGAGATGTGAAACGCAAGAAATCTGCTCCCAGCCTCCATCCATCTGCAGTCCTCCTGCACGAGGGCTGTGGGTTCTTTTCAATGTGACAAGGAGTTCCACAGCCCACATACTCCTAGAATTTCCCAAAAGCCCAAGGTTTGACTCTGTGCTGTTATCCATTTCCCATCTCTGCAGCACTTGTGCCCCTTTCCCCAGTCCTTCTCAGAAGCTTAAATACTCAAGGAAACCTGTAGGGCCCATAGGAACCCACGGTGCCCGTGGGAATCCAAGAAGGCTGTCAGCTCTATCGCTGCTGCTCAGTGCTATTCTGCTTTTTTCCCAATGATTTCTGCTGATTTGCCCAGTCCGTGTGAAGTTCATTACGGCTCTTTTAATGAGTCCAGCATGGTGTTCAGCACTTGCTGGCATCTCCCACGTTGGTGAGCTGTCACGGAGCAGCCTGCACAGCTGAGTGCACCCTGCTGGGTGGCAACATTTGCTTCGTTCCATTGTGGCTGTGCTCCCACACCTCTGTCGGCCTGCAGCTCTGAGCTGTTTGTCCAAGGGCGGCATTTTAATGTGTGTGGAATTTCTTGCAGCTCTGTGCGACTGACAAAACCCTGGAGTTCGACAGAGACTTCCGAATCAAGCACTATGCTGGAGATGTGATGTGAGTTTCTTTCAGCTGTGCCTTCTATTTCTGTCTTCAGCTTTGATGTGGCAGGGTGCTCTGATTCAGTGCTGCTGCTGTGAAGCTGCCGTACAGAATTGCGGAGTGCAGCAGTCGCTTATCAATTAAATCTGAAGCTGGTGGCTGTACAGAATATGAATTTGGAACTGAAACAGAAGGAGAATGTGAACGGGAAAGCAATGCTTCAGGAAAAAGCAAAGCCTACCACTGGTGATACAAAGAAGCTGTAGAGAGCTGATCAAACCTCATTTAGGCATCTGTTGGTGTGATTATACAACTCTCTGGCTTGGAATTCTCAAACCAATGTGAGCTGGCTCAGAAGGCAGGGCGGTGGTAAAACTAACCAGCAGTGCAGGGAATCTGCCCCATGCAGCTGGGAAGTGTTCTGGGCCTGAAATGTGCAGGTGTGACAGCAGCGAGGAGCAGCGAGGAAAGCTTCCAACAGGAGGCCACTGTCTGCAGGCACTGAAATGATGTGGTTTAGGATGACAGGGCAGAAAGAGGAGTTGGGTAGGAAGCGATGTAGGTTTTTTTGTTTTATTGTTTTACCTTTTGCCTTAGGATTAAATTTACCTTTGATTTATAAAGGTAACCAAGGTGGTTGTATTGGGTGCCATTCATTCTGGAGTCTTTGCTGAGTGGTTGCTGACAGACATTGCTGATTCCAAAGCATTCTGCCAAGGAGAAAAACGGTCCCAGGTTCTTTATTAGAGGCTGAGCTTCAGCACTGCCAGTGGCTGGTGGGAAATTTCCTGAAGGAAAATTGAGATGTGGAAATGTTGAAGGCAGAAGTCATGAGTGTGGCTCTCGAATCTGGCATTAACGCTGTTTTCCTTTTTGCAGTTACTCAGTCTCTGGATTTATTGACAAAAACAAGGACACTTTATTTCAAGACTTCAAGCGCCTCATGTATAACAGGTAGGAATAAAACCATTAAGAACTTAAGTCTGGTCTGTCCGGATCCCTTTCTGTAGAGTGGATGCTATGAGAAACTAGCGTTCAGCTGCACAGGTTGTGCAGGGTTTGTTGGTCCCACCTCACTGCAGTCAGGGTTGCTGTGCAGAGATGAGCGCCGTGCCTTTGACCAGGAGTGGAGGTGCCACTACTGATCTCCCTTCTGTGAGAGAGAAACTGAGCAGCGTTTGATCAGCAGCAGAGATGTTGGCTCCAACTGGAAGCCCACGTTTTGAAAGAGAGGTTTGGGGTGATGGGAAAAATGAGCCAATATATGGAGTTGGTCTCGTATGTGCTGTGCCATGGCAGCTCTAAAGCACGCGGTCACTTGCTGTAATTACTGACGAGTGGAAGTTGCCTTTGATAGGTGTGTGTGAGGTGCTACCAAAATCTGTATCTAGAGGGGCTCCACAAAGCTGTTCCAGTCTATTCCAGATCTCTTGCCATCCATCATGGCTGTTTCACCTCAGCTTCCAGAAAATGTCAGCTCAAATAGATGAAGTAATTCGTATATGTATCAAGGGTGTCAATTGCAGAATCATAGAACCACCAAGGCTGGAAAAGGCCTCTAAGATCATCCAGTCCCAGCGCCCACCAGTGCAGCCACTGAGCCACGTCCCCCTTTGCACAGGAATACAGCTTGGAATCAAGTGCTGTAAGCCTGAGCGTTGCTCAAAAGCAAAAGAGATTTTGTTGTGTTGGTTTGACTTGGGTGGCAAGGACATCTGGGCACCCTGCTGAGAGTTGAGCTGAATGGAGCACTTAGGGCCCTTCTGTTGCTCCATGCAATTAAAGCCTTTTAGCTCTTTTAGCTTTAGCTTTGTCTTTTAGCTCTAATCCTGTGCTGAAGATGATGTGGCCCGAAGGTAAACTGAGCATCACAGAGGTCACCAAGCGACCTCTGACAGCTGCTACCCTCTTCAAGAACTCCATGATTGCGCTGGCGGACAACCTGGCATCAAAGGTAAATGCTTCCATTGGAAATTGACTCCACTTGTGCTCGTCTACAGAGAGCTGTCGGCTTCCTGTCACTGCTGTCTGTCACAGAGCCAAGCTCATCAGTGGAGATGAGCTTTGATTGTGGCAGTGGGCAGCTGTGAGGAGCTCCTGGGACGCTTGTCAGCCATCCCTGCACAAAGGAGCTGGATTGTGTTGTGTCCCCTTCACTTGCAGTCGAGCCTCCCTCTTTGGGGGGTAATAATTATTGTGTCAAATAAATAACAAAGCTCTTCTGGCAGAGGGCCCAGAGGATGTAGTTTCACAGCATGGAGATTTTTCTTTTTCTGTCTCTCAATGCTAAATATCTTTGTTGAAAATTCAGCGTGATTTCCTTCTTTTCTCTTTGTGTGAGGTGGCGAGAAGTGAAACTTTTTATTTTTCTGAATAATGAAGTTTTTTAGCAGGAAGTATTGCTCTGGCGAGCACTGCTTTGTGTGAGGGTTGTGTTCTGTTCCATTGCTTTGATTTCATTTGAAAGCGGGGTGAGGGCGCGTTATCTCCTGCGTGAACAACAGGGAGCAAACCTGCATGGAGGGTCCTGAGCAACGCAGGCAGAAATGGCTGGGGGCTCTGGGGGGGAGGGCTGCCCTCCAGGCATCGTGGTGGGACTTTTCTGCTCATCCTCGTGGGAAAACTTCATTCGTTTATTTGAAGAAATGAGCCCAGGCCTTTGTGTTTGTAAGAGCAGAGCAGTCAGGACTGCCTGGAACAACTGGCAGTGGGGGATGAGGAGCTGAAGCTGCACGTTACCATCCTGAGGCAGAATTCACCATCCTGAGGCAGAATTCACCATCCTGAGGCAGAATGCCTCGTGGAAGGATGGCTGGTTGATGTGAAACAAGTACTTTTGGTTGGTTTGTTGTCGCAAATGGAAGCCTCTGAGGATGGGGAATTGTTTCCAAGGCAGAGTTAGAGACTTAGGGACAAATATTCCCCTTGTATTTATACCTCCCCTACGTTTTCATTGAGGATTTGGGGTTAGCAGGTTGGTTGTTTCCAAATTTGCTGTTGAGCAATGCAGTTAATTGGAGAGTGCTGTATTATCCAGGGCGTTTTGGATCCCACAAAAGGGAAGACTGTCATTAAACAGAGGTGTTAACGAGGGCTCCTGCCCAGCACTCAGAAGCCAGGGGCTGTCGTGGCTGTGGCCAACCTGCACTATGGCAAAGGGCTGGAGCAGGGGGGATGAGCTTTGGGCTTCAGTCTTTGCTTTAAGGGCTGACACAGGCAGTGCTCCTGCAGGAGGGCATCTGAAGGTCCTTCCCTTTGCGCACAGGTTGAGAGTTGGCACTGAGCTATTTGTGGATATATTTGTGGTATTTTTGGATATTGAGGTATTTGTGGATACCTTCACCGTATGAATCTGGACCTCACTCCATGTTATCTTTGTTTTCATATGTGCGTTACTTTAAAGGCTCTGAATTTTGGTGTGCCCTGAAAAGCAGATGCAGCATAGATAAGGGGCCTGAGGATGGACTTTGTGCTTCTTCCTTTGGGCTGTGTCACCTGGGAGCCAAGCAGTGCAGTTGCTGCAGTCCTGGGGCAGAATGGCAGTCCAGGAATTCATTGGTAGAATGAATTCTATCAGCAGCATCAGCACTATTGAAACCCATCGTTCAGGGGCTTCAGAGATGCCAATTCATTGAGCAGGAGCAGAATAGCAGAAACAACCCTTGAACTCTGCAGACACCGGAGCTCCAATGGCAGCTGGGTGTTTGGCTTGGACAGCTCTGCTTTGCTGCATCCTGCTGTAGCGTGGGGCTGTGAGGAGCAGCAGAGCTCCGTGCCTTCATGGGGCCGTGCTGCTCTGTCTGTGATGACTTTGTTGCAGTGGCTTTTCTTCCTCCCCTCACTGCTGACTCTGGGAGCCCTGGGGCTGACGTGGCTCTAAATGATGAGCTTCTGGAGGAGCTCTCTCTGGACATTCATCCTGGTTTTAATTCTTCTTCTTTTTCCTTTTCTCCCTTCTTTTTCCCCTTTGTTTTTCCCCCCTTTCCCCTTTGTTTTTCCCCTCTCTGTAATTCCTTTTGCCTGTTTTATTTTTACTCCATCTTTATCTCTTGTCCATCTCTCTCCCATCCGGTTTGACAGGCTTCATCTCTACTAAGCCATAATGCCACTCCATGACCAGTTGGAGACAACCAGCTCAAATTGCCCATTCTACGTCCTGTCCTTTCTCCCATCCACCGTGCTCTGAACTATGGAACAGAATTCACCCAAGCAGGATCGTGGTGCAAAAACACTTTAATATCTAAAAATCACTCTGCTTCATTTAAAAAAAAAAATCAATTCCAGATAGACAACTGAGCAGCATTCAGAACTCGGGCCTTTGTGCCTCTGTATTTCAGTCTTCCATTTATAAAACGTGGCTCTGGGCTTGACAGCCTCCTGTGCAATAATGGGAGCTGCATAATTATCCCCCTGAAGAGCTGGGGCTGGTGGGATTGTGAGAGTGGAATAATCTCCTTTAGAATTTACCCTGCTAGCTGTCATTGCTGAGAGGCTTTAATTACACTGTAATTGTGCTGATAGATGATCTCCTGTCTGTGCAGGAACTTCCTATTCCTGTTTTCCAAAAGGAGAGCAGCATCTCGACTTCTGCCTTTTGTATCAGCTCTCATACAGTCACTCGCTCCTCTTTGGAAGTGGTGAAGGGTAAATCTTTTTGCATGGGGGCTTTGAATGACAAAGAGATGAGTGACAGCCCCGGCAGAGAGAGCTGTGGCAGCAGAGGGGTTCTGCAGTGATAACAAATAGCTGCGAACCCAACGCTGTGATGTCTGATGAAGGACTCGCGCCGTTTCCCTGGGGGCAGAGATGTGTTTTGAGATCACAAATCGCGGGCTGCAGGTCCAGCAAACTCCTCCTCCTCCTCGCTAAGAGCTGCCATGACTGCATGGAGCCTCTTCGTGGATTGGAAGTTCATCTGGGGCTGCTCCTGCCTTCGGTTTGACGTATGGCTGACAGCCAGATTCCCACGGCACAGCCGAGGAGGAGTTGTCACCCACACACATTGCATGTCCTGAGAGCTGGTTGGAGCCTGCTGAGGGAACAAGGACCCCTGGAAACCTTGTTGCCTTCAGCAATTTGCACGAGAAATCTTAAAAAGATGAAGAGTTTTAAGAGATTCATGCATTAAATTGTTCTGTCAGGTTGTGTTTTAGCACAGCAAATAGAATAGGATCAGGCTGTGTCAAATTACTGCAGCAGAAGGAGGTGCACGGGGGAAGACCTCCCACAGAACAGGGCTGTCCCTTGGCTGTCTGGTGGCACGGAATGGTTTGGGCTGGGAGGGACCTTCTGGGTCCTGGGGAGGCTGTGCTCCCAACACTGCTTTGTTTTTTGAGGAATTGAAAAGAGAAGCCAGGTGAAGACTGTGCTGGAGCCACACCAGGGTTGGGTTGGGAGGGACCTCAGTGGTTGTAGAACCATGAGTTCATGGCACCGTTGGGTTGGAGGGGACATTAAAGATTGTAGAACCATGGAATTGTTGGGTTGAGTAGGTTTGGCTTGGAAGGGAACTTAGGGATTGTAGAAACATGGAATGGTTGAGTTGGGTTGAGCTGTGTTGAGTAGGGTTGGGTTGGAAAGGACCTCAAAGATTGTAGAGCCATGGAATCACAGCATGGTTGTGTTGGAGGGACTTTAAGGATTTCTGAGCCATGGAATCACAGCTCTGCTGGGTTGGAATGGAAGCCCCCCCCCTCCCAATCCCTGCCATGGGCTGTGTGCCCCCCACCATCCGTGGCTCTGGGCACAGTGAGGGATGGGGCACCAGCGCTGTGGGCAGTGCCAGGGCCTCTTAGCGTCTCGTCTCAGTGCTGGGGCTGTGGTCATTCATCCCATTCCTATTTGTTAGTGTGTGCAGGCTTCGTGTTCACGTCAGCGCTGCGTGCTTCCACGTTGTGTCAGGGCTAGCTGGGTTATTTGGGGATGAGCCCATTTGTTCAGCATTACTGAAAGGAAAATGGGAATTTTGGGCCTTTCATATTATCCTGAGTTTAGGACGGTGACCTGAAATCACAGAAAATAGGACGAAGTCATCAACAAATCACAGAAAATAGGACTGGAGGGGACCTTGGGAACGCCTGGAGTTCAGTCCTGATTGAGGACAGCGCTGCTCCCCTTCCCTGTGCAGATGTGTGCAGTCTGCTCCTCTCCCCTGATGGGCTTCCTCCCCTCCACAGGCATTCTGCTCCCATGCTTGTTCTGCTGATGTTCAACTTGAGCTGTTCTGTATTGTGCTTAAAGCCTTCTTTGTCCCAAACCAGAACTGCTGCATCTCTTTGTGTTTACCTTTCAGGTGCATTAAGGATGGAAGATGTTAGGTGCTGTCACCAGCATGGTTTTGTGGCTCAGCCCTTCTGAACTGATGCAGTATTTCCTCTGGGTCACGTTTTCTGGGTTTTCAGTCTTTCTGGTTCTTCTCTGAACTCACTGATCTCCATTTCCATTCTGTTTGACCTTGAAAAATAAAAGACCGTGCGGTTATAAGGAACAGTTTTGCCTTTAAGAAATCCGGCTTGGAGCCTTTGTGGGGCGTGCTGCTCTCCCTGCTGGGAGCATGGCAAGGGCTGACGATGGAGAGAAAGAACTGAATCAACTTCGAACCCCAGCGCGGTGGAAGCAGATTGGTTGTGAAGAGTGACAGCCGCTCTTTGCCAGCTTTGTGGACTCTTTCTTGTCTCTGTCCCCCTAGGAGCCCTATTACGTCCGCTGCATTAAGCCCAACGACAAGAAGTCCCCCCAGCTGTTTGACGAGGAGCGCTGCCGGCACCAGGTGGAGTACCTGGGGTTGCTGGAGAACGTCAGGGTGCGAAGGGCAGGCTTTGCCTACCGCCAGACCTACCAGAAGTTCCTTCACAGGTAGGAGGGCAGCTGTGCTCTCAGGTCCTCATCCTCGCTGCTCGGGCTCCCCTTCTTTGTGCTGAGCTCCTTTGCTGCGTTATTCACTCCGTGGGGAATTGTAATGAGGTTCTTCCCCCGAGCATAACCCAAAAAACAGAGCTAATGAGCTGCTGTTTTCTCCCTGCATCTTGTCTGATGGTTGCGGTGAGAGGGACGGGTGGATGCTGTGTGTCAGGGGAAGTGCTCAGTCATAGGACTGTGTTCCAGTTGGAAGGGGCCGTTAAGGCTGTCTGTCCCAGTGCCTGCACTCAGTGGGGCACCCACAGCTCTGCCAGCACTCAGAGCCCCTCCAGCTGAGCTGAGCATTCCCTGGGATGGGGCACCCATTGCTTCCCTGGGCTGCCTGTCCCGGAGCCTCCCTGCCCTCATTACACCCAATCTGCATCTCCCCTGTTCCGGTTTGAAACCATTTCCTTGTGTCTGTCAGTGGTGTGCAGTGACACCGCAAGTACACGAGGAAACCTCTGGGCTTACAAAGTGGAAGTGTGGGAAAGGGATAATAGCATGGCCTCATTAAAGCATCTTTCTGATATCCTTTGCCCTCGTTACTCCTACCAGATCTGTGGCAAATCGAACGTTTTAGATTGTAATTTGTCTTGCAGCTTCAGTAAATTAGCACAGATACTGAGGATTCATCCTCTTCAGTTACTGAATTGGTTTTAACCTCTGTTATTGAATTGTATGAGGGAAAGTCCCTGAGGACAGGAAAAAAAGCCTGAACTGAGCAGGTGGGATGTGCCACGTCAGACCCAAATGCCACGAGAGATGACAGAGATTTGCCTGGGTGTTCTATGATACCTGAGGCAGAACAGGAGGTGAGGCTTATCACACAGCCTGCAGCCCTGTGTATCTGTTCTCCTGAACATTACGCAGAGGTTAGTGCTCACATCTGCCTTCGCACGTGGAATTTGTTCCTTAAGACTTGTGTAATTACTATTAATATAAACAGCTGCTTTGTTTGTCATGAATATTTGATGAGCTCCTGTAAGCTTAAAGCCAGAAGTGCTGTTTGCAGCCAGCCAACCAAATTAGCATGTGGCAAGTGGTGGAGCTTTGAGGTGCTGCAGTGTTTGTTGTGCCGGAGCCTGCGGTCGGATCAGCATCTAAAGGATAAGAGCACACGCTGCGTTTGCATGCCACAGCAGTGCTCCCAGTGCAGCCTGCCCTGAATCTTCTCAACCTGCCCCTCTTGAAGAGGTACGGATGTGACCTGTGGTGGGAGCTGCACGCTCAGCAGCGTTTACTGAAGGGGGATCGCAAGGGATCACAACTGTGCAAATAAAGGAACTCTCCTCCAGGGCGGAGTTGGTGCTGCTCAGCCTGCAGTACCCGAGGGCGACGATATTCCAAATAAAGCAGCGCTGGGGGCGTTTGGGAAGGGCTGCCTGGGGGAGCGGAGGAGCGGCGCCCGCGAGGCATCTGTGGCTGTAACCCAGCCCTTCCCCACAGCGGCATCCCAGGCCTATTTTCGGGCAGTGTTACACAGCATGGAAACAACACCGAGATCCCATCTGCTCTGCACTGAGTGCTCCCTCAATAAGTTTGCAGATGCCGAGGAGGAGGAGTCAGTCTGCCTGAGGGTAGGAAAGCCCTACAAGGGATCTGCACTGAGGCCAGTGGGATGAGCTTCAACGAGACCAAGTGCCAGGTCCTGAGCTTCAGCCACAACAACCCCAGGCGACGCTACAGACCTGGGGCGTTGCGAGAGCTGGTGGTCTGCAGTTGTGCCAGGGCAGCTTCAGGTTGGACGCTGAGAACAGTTTATTCTCTGGAAGAGTGGTGATGCAGTGACACAGGCTGCTCAGGGAGGTGGTGAAGTCGCCATCCCAAAGGTGTTCCAGAGCTGTGCAGATGTGACCCTTAGTGTTGGTGGCATGGCAGGGACGGGTTGGACTGGGGATCTTAGAGATCTTTCTAACCTTAGTGATTCTGAGACTCTGTGAGTCGTGGTGGCTTCATGGTTGGACTGGATGAGCTTAGTGGGTTTCCCAACCTCAGTGATTCTCTTCCGAGCTGCCACCACGCACAGGCAAAAGGAGAGGGGAAGGGTTGTGGTGTCACTGAGCAGATTTAGGATGGCTCCTGCCTTGCTGTAATTAGTGGTGAGGTCAGGATTTGGCAGTGCTGCAACATCCTGCTCTCACTTCAGCTCTCCAACGCCTCTCCCTATTTTTTTCTGGGCCCTGTTTAATAAAGCATGCATTTGTAGTGCTGTCCTGATCCTTTGGTTTCCCTTATTTAAGTGTCCTCAGGTGGAAGGTTCTCCTATCGAATTAATTACTGCAGGAACATTTTCCTGATGAGGACAGAAAAGAGAAACCAGCTTAAAATATTTATGCCCCATGAATGCTTGTATCATGGGCTTTTAAATAGAGAGGTGGTTAAGTCTGTTGCAAGAGTGTTTTATTTGGATCATGAATGTGGGTAATACAGCAGCTAAAGCATCAGCTGTGTTTGTGTGTCCAGAAATGATACGTGGACGATCCAGTGCTGCTCTTTGCAGAGCTCTGTTGGTGGAGCTCATCGCATTCATCAGTTCTGTGTCGATGAACTGAGCTCCTCACAGTGCTTGTTCTTTTCAGTGCCTTAAAATCACACCTCTTGCATTCCCTTGCTGTTCGGTTTTGGGGATCACATCTCCTACACAAACTGTCTCAGGATCTGCTGCATGTAATCAGCTGTATTTCAATTTAGCTGGTCATTATGCCTAAAAGATATTGAAGGTTGGTCTTTTGGAGAGCACAGAGGACAAGTGTGCATTGGAAATTGTGATTCCAGGTACAAGATGATCTCAGAATTCACCTGGCCAAACCATGACCTCCCTTCAGACAAAGATGCTGTGAAGAAGCTCATTGAGTGCCATGGGTTTCAGCACGATGTTGCCTATGGGAAGACCAAAATCTTCATCCGCACACCACGAACGCTGTTCACCTTGGAGGAGCTCCATGCCAAGATGCTCGTGAGGATTGTGCTCTTCCTGCAGAAGGTAAAGCTTCGCTTTGCTGCATCAAAAAGCTCAGTTCACGATCCTTAAAGCACCTTTTCTCAAGCTCCCTGTTGTTTTTTCTTGCTTCTTCATCGTGTTGCTGATGACTGAGCACAAAACGTTTGAGGTGAGTCATAGAATCACAGGTTTGTTTGGGTTGGAAGGATGCTTTCATGTTGGTTCATGGAGCTTTGCGCGTACCTATTGCTGAGTCCTCCAAGGTAAATGAAACAAAGGCAGGCAAGGGATAGAAAATGAGGGGAAAGGAAGGAGTAATTTGTGTGTTGGTGGCAATTTCTTCCCATGGGAGCTCACAGCAACAGCAGTATTGGGGTTGGCAGGAGCAGACATCACGAGAACACAAGAATTACATCACAGCAAGAAGGAAAATGCTGCTGTGGGGCTCTGGCAATGCTGGCAGCAGTTTGGGTGGAAGGGTGTCAGAGTGGAGGTCATCTGCAGAGCTGCTGATAGAAGGCCCTTAGCATCACAAGGCTGTGACCCCAAGGTGCTGTGCAGGGGACCCCTGCATGTTCTCCCCCTTCTGAATACGGGATTTGATCTCAAGCTCTTCCTCATTTTACCCTCCGGGTAAATAATTTTACATTCTGCAACTTCAGTGCAAAGGCATTTTCAGGCTTTTCTTATGAAAATCCTCCTCTAAGCAATGGGACTTGGCAAATTCCTGAATCGTTTGGGCTTAGGGGTGACTGTGCAACAGAAGCTGGCTTGCAACCTCAAAGCAATGTCGTGTCATAGAGTTGTTGGAGTGGGAAGGGGCCCCAAAAGGTCATCTAGCCCAACTCCGTGCAATGGCCATGCAGCAGAGGGGACAAAATACAAGAGCTGGTTCAAAAACTGTTCTGTGCCCAATAGTGTTGTTGTGTCAACAACGTGCTTGACCTGATTTCCCTTCTGGAAGTCAGTGTGACCAACGTGGAAGGAGACAATTGGAAGTCCAGGGTTGCATCTGCATTTGCATTGGTTGGGTGGTGGGTTGAAGTTGGTAGGTGTGGAATTGTGTAAGATGGAAGGCGATTTCTTCCTGCCGTTTTTGGTGTTTCTGCTGTTTTGCTGTTGGGTTTCATTCTGTGCTCCGAATCCAGTCCTCGTTTCCAGCTGTGCTCTGCTGCCGGTAGATGGGGCAGTCACAGACCAGCAGGAAGCTCAGTGACAAATGGAATCTCAGACTGAGAATCTGAAGAGGCTCTGAAAACACTGGCAATGTTGCCTGTGTCTAATTTTTGTTTTCAACTAGCTTTCAACTGTTAAAAATGCACACAAAAATGTAATTCTTTCTCCTTTAACCAACTGTAACTTTGCCTGTAAGCATGCAAGGCAAGGCTGCGCTGGGCCGGGGGCAGGGAGAGGTGCAGCCTGCCTCAGGTTGGGGTCCAGTAGCATTTGTCTTTCAGTAATTTTAAATGAGAGGAAAATCTGCTGATAGCAATTCCATTTCTTGCTTATTTCAAATGTACGTCTTCGTTTCTAATTGTATGTATTACACGATGTATTGCTCCCAAGGCTTTCAGAAAGAGATTCTGTGATTATCTTAGCAGCTTCATCATGTGAGTAACCCTTAACCCTTAACATCATGCCGCTTCCTTTGTTTGATAATGGTAAGAATTTGCTTCTGTGGTTGTTTTTCTTGGAAACGTTCCCGTATATTCATTAGCTTTGTAGAGGAGCGCTTTGTTCAAGAAAGCAGCTCAGCACGTGCAGCATGCAAAGCGATGCATCTTGTCAGTATAATTTAGTGCACAATTCCAGAGCAGTTTTATCAGAGCGGTGCAGCTGCGTATGGAAATCGCTTCCCTAAATCTTCACTGCTCGGTGCAGAGGAGCAGAGGATTGCTCTCATCACCCAGCACCTCCTGGGCACGGGCGCTGTGTGTGCAAGACTGGCAGCAGGAGGAGAGCAGTGGTTCCTGTTGGGACCCATTGGGGTCCTGTTGGGAACCACTGAGGACCCGCTGGGGATGTGCTGGGGTCCTGCTGAGAGCCCACTGAGGACCCACTGGGGTCCTGTTGGGAACCACTGAGGATCTGCCATGAACGTCCCTACCATCACCACGACGTATCTCCGCCTGATGGGGGGCAGCAGGAGGGAACTGCGACTGATTTGTAATTCAGAGTTCCCCCCCTTCTTTACAGCACAACTTCAGGTGAGCATCTGTGCTGGCAGAAAGAGGTCAGGGATGTGCCACAGGGCAGGGCTCCCACCCTGCAGGTGCAGTGGGACACCTGAATGCTTGCTTATCATCTTTCCTCACCCAGGACGTGCTGTGAAAACACTTCTTTAACCGAAGTAGACATCAATATCCATTCATTGTTGGGTAAAGGAGGACAAGAGAGGATCAGGGTCACCCAAAGTAAGGCAAAGGTGCACGATTTCTGTGCCTATCTCCTTCCCTCATAGGATGCTGCAGTGTGAATTGCTGATGGCGATGAGCTTTTCCCATGGGCTGTGGGGCTTATGGGGCTGTGGGGCAAAACCAAACGTCTGGTGATGGAGCTGCGTTTATCAGTGTGTTTCTGGAATTGTTTTTCTCTTTCACCACAATGAACGCTGTCCTCCCTCACATGCTTTCACAACATTCCTGACCTTTGAACAAAGGTAAGCAGAATTTGCCAGAATTTCGGGAAGCTTTCAGGCAGGGCAGCAATGAGTGGCAGGAAAAATCCAGCCGTCACTTCTCCCCGTCCACCGTTTCGTCCCTGCGCACATCTCACACGCGCCCCTCGCCTGTCCCTGTGCTATTTGTATTTACTGCTGGGCACAGCCTTCTCAGTGCAATCTAATTAATCCGAGGTGACCCCTCTCTCCGCTCCACCTATGGGGATGTTGTTTCTATTAAGCAAAGCGATGGAACGAGCGCTGTTCAGCTGACTCATGTGAAAAGAGAAAGCAGCATTTAGTAAATGAAGCAGCCCTTCCCACTCGCTGTCTGCGTGCTGCAGTGCGATCCGCGGGAACCAGGAGGCTCTGATTTACAAACATGAAATTCCTCCGGTGGATCTGAGTTTGGTTGCGTTGTGAAATGCAGGTCCCAAAGCTGGCTGTGGATGTTGGCCGTTCCATCCGGCCTCCATCGCCTCGCACTGCACCGCTCTGCAAGGAGCTGACCCTTCCAAGGGCAATCAGGAGCAGCGTAATTAAAGCTCGCTTCTGATTTGCAGTGCCTCAAACTGCGCGGGTTGACTTAAATATTTCATAACCTTTCCTGTTTGAGGCCCTTTAAAGCCGTGCAGAAGAGTTCATGGCTCTGTGAGTCCCTAGCTGGGTTTTGTTTTATCTTTTTCAGTTTGGATGCCTGGAGGGCAGCATGAAATATTGATCACAAAGCAGTGGGAGGAGGTGTGCTGTGCTACAGCAAGCATGAAATGGTTGGCCAAGGCTCAGTTAGTTGCAATGCTGCTCCAAAGTGTAGCACTGGTGTTTAATTCGGATGAGCTAAGTTGGAGTTCTTCGGTTCTAGTAGCTTTATTTAATCTTAGGAATCGTTGCTAGGAGCTCAGCGAGTTTATAATCTGCTTTAAATCGTATATAATCATTTGAATTTGAGTTTATTAATTTTTCCTCAAAGCCATGTGAGTTAAACATCCTTCAGGAGAAGATTTCAGTGCTTCCCTTAAGATAAGGTCTGACTTTTGGTGTGGGTGAGACTTCCATTTCTTTTTCATAGGATCACGGGGTGGTTGGAAGGAACCTTAAAGGTCATCCAGTTCCAACCCCAGTGCCACGGGCAGGGTTGCCACCAGATAACCTCTTTTTGTCCTGGTTTCCAAAGCTTTCTCTCCATCCGGCCTCAGCCTTAATTTCTGAATTGCCCTGTTAGTCTGTCATCACCTGAGCAAAGTGTGGAGAAGGCAGAGGTGATCGAAGGGAAGCTGGGAGATCACAAGGGGGCAGTGGATGGGTAAAGGTTGGGAGGTGGAGCTCAGATGCACCGTTTCTTTCCATTTTGGTGCTGATTGTTACCCATTCCTATGCCCAACCTCTGCCCTGTCTCCAGCCCTTCATGTGGAGGACCTCTCTCTCACAGTGTCCTGCATGAAGTCTCTTGCTCTCACTTGGTCACAGAATCCTAGGATAGCTGGGTTGAAAGGGACCTCATTGAGCTCCAACCCACCTGCCAAGGGCTGGCTGTGCCCCACTAGAGCAGCTTGCCCAGGGCCGCGTCCAGCCTGGCCTTGGTCATTGGATGCTGCAGTAATTGGCAACAAAATTGATTGCTTTTGAGTCTGCTTTTCAGTTTTTCACTATAAAACTCATCTTCCAACAGGGTTTTCATGAGCTTCCCATGGGTTTGCCCCATGCTGCTGACATTCCACAACGATGACAGCCGCAGCTTTATTCTCGTGACCACGACCAGTTCTCTCCCACCCTCCTCAAATCCTTTGTGCATCTCCACCATCCTCACCCCCCTGAAACACTGCCAGATCCTCCTACCTGTTGGCTTGGGACCCAGCATCGCGGGGCCGTGCTTGGCTGGGAGCTTGGTTTGGGATTTGGAGATGGGTCAAAGCAGATGGTGTTGAACTCCTTCCAGCAGTGTCACTCTGATTTGAGCCCCTGCCACTGATTCCTCCTGTAAGACTTTGCCTCTTGGGGTTTTCTCTTCCTTTGTCAGGTTTGGCCGAAGCTGGATGGAGTCAGAAGATAAAGCAATCAGTGTCAGCCTGGGACAGTTACAGACTTGTCTGCAAAAATGATTACGTACTGTAAACTTAGAAAACAAATACAGTGCCTGTGAGTTTGGTTTCTCATTACTTTTGGAACGAGCTGCCAGTGCGGCTGTTAGGAAGGCCCTCACCAGGAGCGAGGTTACCCAGTGCTGACAGCTTGATTGGAGGACGTGTTTTTCATTAAGAGCCGACTGTTTGTGTGCAGCCAAGGGACGCCCTGGGCTGGATAATTGGGTTTGGAAGGCTCCTGTTGGTAGCGTTGTGACACTTCTGGCTGCGAAGCCAATTTCTGCAGCGCTGCAGCTGATACAGCATCAGGGCAATCTGTTACTGTGCCTCTGTTCCACCCGTGTGGAAAAAAAACCCGGCCAGAGAGGCTTTCCTCAAGAATGTGTCTGCTGCAGCACAGGGGAGCGAATTGAGGCCTCGTTCTGTGTCCAAAACAGCTCAAAATGCGTGTTTGTTCTCTTGTGATGGTTTAGGAGGTCAGAAGGCTGCTTAGCCGCTGCACCCCTCGTTCCCCATTTCTGTTCTTTTGAAATTAACAAGTAGGAAGTTGGTGGTAGGTTTTTTTATCTTGTCATCTGGTTTGCTGCTGACGTGCTTTCTGCAGGTATGTTTGGTGCCAGTTTGTTCTGTGCAGACGATGCTGCCTTCCCTCCGTCTGCCCAATGCTTTGAAATGCAATTAAGGAAGGTGTTAGATATTATTTTCCTGTGGCTCTATGCGTATGATGTTTAGATTTTCAGTACCAATCTGCTGTTCCTTGCTCATCTCCCTTTGTCTCACTGCCAGTTTTGTTTGGCTGTACAACACTGCTGCTGTATTGCTGTTGTTACAGTGATTTCTGCACTTCTTGCTCTTGCTTTTTCCCAGTTTGGCCTTCACCATGTTCTGCTGAATGGATGGTGTGTGGGGTGATCTCGTGCTGCATCAAGGACTGCTTTCTATCTTGGGGTAAAGTTGCACACGTGCAGTTTAGCATGCTGAAAGCGAAGGGTGGATCGGCTTGGTGTTACCATGGGGTGTTTGGGCAACGTGACGTGGCTCCTGGGTCTGTTTTGGAGGGGCAGAAGGCTGGAGGAGTACGAAGAGGGACTCTGAAAGAAGGTGGAAGGAGGAGTTCTTTGCTTTTCTTGAGAAGGAACCCAAAGTTTCTGCTTCCTCTTTGAATGTTCAGAGTATAGAGAAGAGCTCCTTCACATCTGCTCTGCCTCTTCTACGTATGGCTGTTCTCAGCCACACAGCAGGGTTATCGGTAGGGCTGTCAGGAGAACCTTTGACATCAGCTTCATCAGGAGTATGCTCTGTTGGAGATCACCCTGGTAATTAATTAATTCTTCTGTAACCAGAAGGCTTGATAGCATCAGTGGAGCTCCGGGATGTTTCTCGAGAGGCATCAGCTCCCAGCAGGGCCTGCAGCGGGTGGTGCTGCACTCGTTCTGTGCAAGAGGCTCCTTATCCTTCAGTTTAATCCTACGAGGAAGCAGAAATGCAGTCTTCATCCTGGTGGGTGGTGGTGGAGGGGAAGGACAGCTGTGCACCAACTCAGGGAGCCGTCGACACTGCGAGCTGTTGTCATAAGTCAACACTGCATGTCAGCGTGTGTCGCGAATGGCTGTCATCCGTTGTCACGAGTCACTGCCCGGTGTCCTGCTGTGGTGCTGTGCATCGTCCTGAGTCAACTTCACCTGTTGTCATCTGGCATCGTTAATGTGTCGTCACATGTCATGACATGTCATTGCCTGTCATTGCATGTCATTGACGTGTGTCATCATGTCGTGACGTGTCATTGCCCGTTGTGAGTCGTGGATGTGTGTTGTCATATGGCGTGTCATTAACGTGTGTCGTCATGTTGTGACCTGTCATTAATGTGTGTCGTCATGTCGTGACGTGTCTTTGTCGTGTGTCGTCATGTCGTGACGTGTCACTGTCATTGTGAGCGGATATTGCATGCCATCATATATCGTGATATGTTGTTGTCTGCCCCAAATGTCATGACGTGTCACTGTCCATCACACCAAGTCGCACAGTGCCAGGAGCAGCTCAGCGCACCCACGTTTTTCCAGCCGAATCCTATTGGCACGCCAAAATCTCGCTCTTTAAAGCTGATGACTGCTGTGCGTAGGGATGGAGAGGAATAAAGAGGCGTTTCCTTCCTTCCTTCTGACGCCGTCCTCTGTCCTCTCTGTGGCTCTCAGGTCTGGAGGGGCACCTTGGCTCGGCTCCGCTACAAGAGGACGAGGGCTGCCCTCACGATCCTCAGGCACTACCGCCGCTACAAGGTGAAGTCCTACATCCACGAGGTCGCCCAGCGCTTCCGCAACGTCCGATCCATGAAGGATTATGGCAAGCATGTGCAGTGGCCCACGCCACCCAAAGTGCTGCACCGATTTGAAGAGGCGCTCCAGGCGATTTACCACAGGTACAAATGAGAACATGACTCTGTTCGGTCTAAGCGAGGGCTGAACGGTTCCTGCTTGCTCCGGAAAATTTGGGGAGATGCCTGGAGGACGTTAACTGGGCAGCAAAAATGAAGATGTTGGAGTCACAGAACAGCTGTGGTTGGAAAAGACCACTGAGATCACCAAGTCCAACATCAACCCCTCCCCACGTAGTGGGCTCTGATACCCTGACCAGGCAAATAATTGTCCTGTTTCAGAGATTTGGTCACGATGGACACCACGCTTCCTTACTTAGTCCCAATTAAGACTTTCTAATCAATTTTGAAAGAAAAGAGCAGCTGGTGGTTGGCAGAAGGAGAGAGAAAAATGAATCTTTTAGAATCTCTTGAGACTTTTATAGTAAGTCAATACTACTTTGAAGTAAATTAAACAACATACCGCTATCCACCGTATGCACTGTGTGGAAGAGTTGTTTTATACATTCATTGCAACCTCCTTAATGACCAAAAGCCAGTGACTTTTTTCTTTGGCAAGTCTTGTTATTGCAGACAGGAGGGGTGTCAAGAGCTCTGATTCCAGTCTGAAAAATGATATCTTCTGAAAGTTATGAACAAAGGAAATATTGGCTGGACGAGGCCTCTAGGGATCTGTAGGGCCATCTGCTTGAAGCAGAATACCACCAGCACTAGAGCAGGTTGGCCTTGTTTTTCTTCCCAGCTGTCTCTTGAATGCTGTCCATGACCTATTGGGTAGTGTCCTGCTTTCTGAATAAGCTCAATTATCATCATCACCAAATTTTAGTCGATAAAGACTTTTCACAGCGTTGGTCCTACAGAGCCAATGTTCTTGCTGAAGGCGGTGGAGTAACGAATGTTCTGGTCTGTCCTCTTTTATGTTACAGTTGGTTAGATTTCAATTGTAGGACCAAATTTGGCTGTAGAAAAGGTATGGTGTTTTAAATGAGCTAAAAAATGGGCTTGCAAAAACTGTATTGCCAACAGATCTATCAGTGCCAACAGTGCTATCAGTTCACTTCTGGGCACCAGAGGGATGTGGGGAAGCGTGCCAGCCAAATTTGGTAGGAGCTAAAGGTGATGTGTCATGTAAGCTTCAGGGCACTTGGTACAGATGTGAGCCTGACTCGAGCTTTATGTGGCAGGTGGAGAGCAGGGGAACTCATCCGGAGCATCCCTCCAAAGGACCTGCCTCAGCTGCGGGCCAAGGTTGCTGCCATGGAGGTGCTGAAGGGTCACCGAGCAGATCTGGGGCTGCAGAGAGCGTGGGAGGGGGATTACATCGCACTGGTGAGCACACAGAGGAACCGATGGAGGTCAGAGGGGTCTGGGGCTCAGGAAACCAAAAGGGTGGAAATTTGGGAACGTGGCTGTTGGTTTCTTGGAAGGGAAAGCACTGCAGGTTAATTTTCCAGAACATACCGAGCCTGGTTTGAGTGAGCATCCCAAACAGCACTAAAGGGTGGTGAGCAACGCCATCAGCTGGCTCATCAAATGGCCAGACCTGGGAGGGAGGTTGGTGTAAGGCTGAAATCCTGGATGCAGCGGGATGCTAAAAGCAGCCCTAAATGGGAAGGAACAAAGACATTATCTCGAGGCAACTTGCAATACTTTCTACTCCGTCCTTCCTCCAAGCGTTTTGTTTTGTTCAGGCTCCCTCTGAAAGCATGTAAAACTCTGCTGCTCTCCAGGGGGGTGGGAGGAAGCTTCCGATGAGGTGGTGCAGCTGCAGTCCTGCCCTGACGCCGTGCAGTTGCTGTCCCCAGTGAGCACAAAGAGTGACAAGGCCGTCTTTGCTCTTGCAGAGGCCGGATCACCCTCAGAGCACGGGCGCCTTCCTCCCTGTTGCCACCGAGCTGAAACGGAAAGACAAATACATGAATGTTCTCTTCTCGTGTCACGTCCGCAAGGTGAGCTGGGTGGGGATGCTTTGGGGCTGGGGTGGCATTGTGTGATGCCAACGGAGGGATGGCAGGACTGCAGATACCTCTACAGATGCCCTCCTAAGCAGTCCCGTGTTAATTGACTGCTGTTAATCGGCTGTGATTTTTGGTGGATCCGCGGCTCAGAACCTATTGCACCAAAGGGTGCTTGGAGGGACCTCTTTGTTGCAGAGGAATGAATGAAGTCACTTGATTCTGTGTAGCTGGCTTGGATCTGAGAGCAGAATTCTGCTTCTTTGCCAGGAAAGCCTTAAAAACTCATCAGAAAAAGATATACTAGGATTTTTTTGGTGTGTGCAGTGCTACTGTGATGTACAGAGTTCTCCTAAGGTCTGCTATGGGTGGTTTCTGACGATGCTGTTTGAGAATGTCCATCAGGAGAGACTATTTTGAGCTTTATGAACCCATCAGACACAAACCTTCCGATGGCCACTGATGCTGGATGCTGTCCAGAAGCCACGGATCTGTGCTGTTTGCACACAGTGGATGCAGGGGGTTGGCCTCCCCTTGCCAGATGTGTATTGGGGATTCTGCAAGTACCTTCAATAGCAACAGCATTCATTTTGCAGTGAGTAATGTCCACTTTGTAATGGAACTTCTTTCCTCGTGGCAATGATGTTTATACAACAGAAGGTGATTGCTGTACATAAAAGTAGAAATCTCTTCTTGCTTCCCACTATTTCAGCAGAGGAGCCCATTGCTTTCAACACTCTCTTTTTGAAAGTCACTAATTAAATGAGTGATTTGAGTGAGTATTGGGTTGTAGTGCCAGGACCGGGAGAGTCTCAGACCTCACCTGTACAGCCTTGGAAGCACTTTGTGTAGAATCTGATGGAGATACTGAAGAATTTCACCTTAGATTTTTGTTCGTTTGGGCTGAAAACAAAGAAATTCCCATTGCAGTTGGTTTAATAAACCAGATCCAAATGATTGCTGTTTCTACTTAAAACTGGAATAACTGTAAAAATACAACATTCGGTTCTTAACGACGTGATGGTTATTTTGATTAGGAAAGAAATGGTCGTTTTTAATGGGGGTAGAGTGATGGTGAGGGGAATTACTCAGCACGAATGTAACACATGCAGCCCCTGTGGGAGTTCAGTGCTGCTCACTGTTACGCAACGTTTAAGCTTTTAAGTACTTCGGTTTTTCTCACTTCTGAGTCAGCTTTAAAGGACAGCCTCCTGCATGGGCAGCTGAGAGAGGTTTCTGACACACGGATCCTTCCCTTCTCCTTTCCGGCGGTTGCAGCGCAGCTCTGAGCGCCCGTTCCTGGCGCTGCCCTCATGCCTGGCGCTGCGGTTTCATTCCTAGGGATCTGCCCTAGAACAAATGGATGCGTTTGGAGGCAGCACAACGCGCCAGGGAAGCGTTGGCCTTGAGGAAACCAGGAGCGCCTCCTCCTTCGTGAGGGAGGTGGGGATGGTGGGGAGGGGTGGGGGTTGGACTTGGTGATCTGGGAGGTCTTTTCCAACCTTCATGATCCGATGGTTCCCAAACAAACGGATGAAGTAATTTCGTGCTTGCTGCTCAGGACAGCTCTGTAGGATCCTTGATGACATACGTGAGGCCGTTTCAGAGTATCTCTACGTTTAAACCCAAAAGCAGTGAGCAGTGGGTGTGAAAACTGCTTGAATGAACCATTTGTCTGCCTTCCCTCTTGGGTGAAGAAAAAATGTCCAAGGCCTAAAGTCAACCAGAGAGAGGAACAAATAGCCCTGAACTTTGAAAGCCAACAAGACAAAGATTTGACATTTCAAGATCTGCCATCGAGATCTTTCCAAACAATGCACCCAGGGAATCTAAATTAAATGTGAGCCTCGGATTTGCCAGCTAAGCAAGGGGAAAAATTGTAGCCTGTAGCCGTGGTTGGAGTAGACAAACAGTGCTGACTTTCACCTCCAGTGTCAGGTGTCTGATGCTCAGAACTCTCAGGTAATTGCAGTCTAATGCTCTTCTTTCTTTGAAAAGAAATGACATTAAGAGGATAAACACAGAGCAGCTTGAATAGGCACCAGTTAAGCCTAGAGTTCACGTATTTAAAAATGTTGCTGTGAGCTGCAGGATATTTGCTAAGCACTGACTTCTCGGAGGCGGTTTTTTTTAGCTGCTGATTGACGTTGTTCTGGAGAAGTCAGGAAGGCCAAAGCAGCTCGCAGCAGCTCTTAAGTATCGATAACTGCTTGGGTGTGCGGGGTCTTAATTCTGACAGCTTGATACGAATAGCAGCGATGAATCTGCTTGGGCCAAAGCTTTGTAGCTCTTTTTATAGAGCGCCTGCGAAGAAGCTTTGACGCTGTGTGATGGAAGTGTGTGTGTCTGCGTTCTGGCAGTGGGTACAGGTGGGAGCAGGTCATTTTCCTGTGGAAAAATACATCTTTTGCTGAGTGTGGTGGTGCTCTTTATTTTTCAGCTTTTTTTTGCCTCGGGAAACCGAATGCATATTTCATGCGTGCTGCCAGATTTTGTTTTATCACCTAGGAAACAACAATTTCTCCTATTTTTAGGACATGTCTTTTCTTCCTGTTGCTCTTGTCGTTTGTGGCACTGCGCTCCCTCGAGAGCTCCATCTCCAAAGCCACCGCTCTCAGCCCTGGGGCGACCTGGAAAACTTGTTTGAAGGTTTTCTGCTGTAGGCTGGACCTTCATTTTTCTCTATCAGCTGAAGGAAGCTAAGGAAGCTAAATTAAGTCTGATTCCCGTTTGGATCAACGGGGATATAAATAAAAGAAGCCCAGAAGGTGCAGAGAACACAGTGCTAGGAAGGGCATGATCAGTATCTGAGAACATAGGGGCTGTCTCCACTCCTACAAAACCAGAGAACAGTGGCATTTGCAATTGCGCTGGCGTGTGGCTGCATCTCTTCTGTGCGTGCTTCCCCACATGGCACTGAAGGCACAGCACCAGCTGGTTACGCTGGTGTGTCACAGGTGCAAAACCACCTGAAGGTGCTGACAACTGGAAGAAAAGGAGGTGATCAGGAGCAGTCAGCACGGGTTCACCAGGGGGAGGTCGTGCTTGACCAACCTGGTGGCCTTCTATGATGTTGTCTCTGGCTGGGTGGATGGGGGCAGGGCAGTGGATGTAGTCTACCTTGATTTCAGCAAGGCTTTTGATCCTGTCCCCCACAACATCCTTATAACAAAGCTGAGCAAGTGTGGGATAGATGAGTGGACAGTGAGGTGGGTTGAGAACTGGCTGACTGGCAGAGCACAGAGGGTCGTCGTTGGCGGTGCAGAGTCTGGTTGGAGGCCTGTGAGCAGCGCTGTTCCTCAGGGCTCGGCGCTGGGTCCAGTCTTGTTCAACATCTTCATCAGTGACCTTGATGAGGGGATAATGGCCACCCTCAGCAAGTTTGCTGATGATACAAAGTTGGGAGGTTTGGTTGACAGCCTGAAGGCCGTGCTGCCATTCAGCAAGACCTGGACAGGCTGGAGAGCTGGGCAGAAAAAAACCGGATGAGGTTTAACAGAAGCAAGTGTACAGTCTTGCATCTGAGGAGGAATAATTGCATGCACCAGTACAGGTTGGGGGATGAGCTGCTGGAGGGGAGCTCTGCAGAAAGGGACCTGGGTGTCCTGGTGCACGACAGGTTGGCCATGAGCCAGCAGTGTGCCCTTGTGGCCAAAAAGACCAATGGCGTCCTGGGGTGCATTAAAAAGAGCGTGGCCAGCAGGTCGAGGTGATCCTCCCCCTCTGCTCTGCCCTGCTGAGGCCTCATCTGGAGCACTGCGTCCAGTTCTGGGCTCCCCCGTACAAAACAGACAGGGATCTCTTGGAAAGAGTCCAGTGGAGGGCCACCAAGATGGTGAGGGGCCTGGAGCATCTCTGCTATGGAGAAAGGCTGAGTGAACTGGGGCTGTTCAGCCTTGAGAAGAGAAGGCTGAGAGGGGACCTGATCCAGGTCTATCAGTATCTGAGGTGTGGGGGGCAGAATGGTGAGGCCGGACTGTTTTCAGTGTTGAGTGGAGACAGGACAAGGGGAAACGGCCGGAAACTGCAGCATAGGAAATTCTGCACCAATGTGCACAAGAACTTCTGTACAGTGAGGTGAGGAGCACTGGAACAGGCTGCCAGGGAGGTGGTGGAGTCTCCTTCTCTGGAGATGTTCAAGACCTGCCTGGATGCCGACCTGTGCGACCTGCTGTAGGAACTGCTTTGGCAGGGGGTTGGACTCGATGAGCTCTGGAGCTCCCTTCCAAGCCCTACCATTCTGTGATGCTGTGACAGGCTGTGTCACCACCCCTGGGGTGTTCTGTGCCAGTGTGGCACTGAGGGATGAGGTCAGTGGGCAGGGTGGGGGTGGCTTGGGGTTGGACCTGGGGATCTCAGAGGTGTTTCCATACCTTAATGTTCTGTGATTCCAGAGCAGACGTGGTGGGACGAGCTGGGATTGGACAGGAGCATCTCAGTGGTCTTCTCCAACCTTTATGATTCTGTGATCTGATGTCTGTATGAGGTGGATCACCGCCTGAGGAAGCCCTGTTTGACCTCCAGGCCATGCAGCTGTCCTGTAGGCTGCACCACCAAGCTGTGGTGTGTGACAGCTCAGAGATCAGTAGCTCTGCTTTCACCCTGCTTTCTCTTTTGCTTTTGCAAAGACTTTACCTGGGGACTGTTTAGCTTTCAGCCTCCCAGAGCGTTTATTCTCCTTTTGTGTAATATTTCCTTGACGAATTAATTGTAATGCTAGAGAGAGAGATGTGTTTCCTCAGTGAAAACCCTACTGGTAGAGCCTAATGTCACCAGTGGTCTGGAAGAGTGGTGAGCTGCAGGGGGATGGGGGGATTTCACAGAATCATGGGATGGCTTAGATTGGAAGAGACTGTAAGGATCATAAAACGGTGGGATCATGGGATGTTGGGATTGGAAAGGATCTTAAAGATCACAGAACCATGGAATCATTAGTTTGGGTTGGGTTGGGTTGGGTTGGGTTGGGTTGGGTTGGGTTGGGGGACCGTAAGGGTCGTAGAACCATGGAATAATTGGGTTGAGTTGAGTAGGATGGGTTGGAAGGGACCTTAAAGGTCATCTGTTTCCAGCCCCCAGTTTATGAGATCTGTGTAAAAAGAGCAAACAAATAAAGAATCTTACAATGGATTGGGTTGGAAGGGACCTCAGAGGCTTGATCCCAGGGTATCAAACACTGCTCTCAGGAGAATATCGTTTTGTTATTAGTTTATTAACTGTTCCCATAAGGTGTGGAACCAGCAGTTGACTGGTATTCCTAGATTTTCCCCACATCAGGTGTTGTGAAGGTACAGGGTTTGTATCTTGTAGCCTTATGAATTAACTTCTTAACAAACAGTTTCATATCTTTGCAGTAATTTTCCAGAGGTGCTGCTGTGGCATTTGGCAGCACTTCTGGTGATTTCACTGGTTGGGTACTGGAGGGATGCTATTGCTGTTGACGGATAGCAAAAAGAAACACAAATTCAGACCAGCAGAATACCTGGAACGAAGAGAAAGAAAGCAGTTCCCGTTGTAATTAATCCTTTGCTGGATGTAGGTCTTGCTTGTCCCAGCTGCTCTCACAGTGCCCATTTCCCTGGGTATAAAATGGCTTTAACCTCCCCTCTTCACTCCTCCAGGTCAACCTGTTCAAGACCTGTGTGAATGTTCTGTGTTTGCTGCTGCCAGGTTTTTATTGAGCACGTGGCTGAAAGCTGCTTCTTTACAGGTCAACCGCTTCAGTAAGGTGGAGGACAGAGCAATCTTCATCACCGACAGGCACCTTTATAAGATGGACCCCACGAAGCAGTACAAAGTGATGAAGACCATCCCCCTCTACAACGTGAGTTACAGACAATCTCACAGTCACTGGCAGAGCTCCTGCAGCTCCGTGTTCCTCTCCGTAGAATGGAGAAGGAGGTTGGAAAAAGACACATTCTTCTCTTCCTTCTGCTCTTTTGTTATTTGTGCTTGGCCCCATCGGGGTCTGGCATTTCACAGCAGCTTGAGACACAATTTCTCTGTCTCTGGGGGTTCGTTTGATCCTGAATGTTGTTGGAATTGATTTATATATATTTGTTCACGTTTGATGTAAGCAGCATTTAGCTGCCAGTCACAGAGCAGCAGATTATCACTGGGAGGAAGGGGGGAAGGGAGAAAAGCTCCTCTTAGAGCGTGGATTCAACCTGTTTGTTTCCGTCAGCCTGAGGTAATGCTGCTGTGATTATCTCCACCCTACAGAACCTGGCTGCACTGCTTGCAGATGTCCTACACAAATTGGTTGTGATGTTTGCATTTGAAGGAACGATAAACCCAACGGTCCCCCATGGCTAAAAAATGGGCTTAGAGGAGCAGTGAAACCTAATCTGCGAATGTGGAGCGAGTGATGAGCTGAGATGGCATCCAAATGTTGGGTTGATTGGTCCCTTGCCAGCGTCCTTGCTGGTTACCCACCTGACCCAGCACAGTGTGGGCAGCTGCTGCTGCTGCCTTGCCCTCCGTCCTTGCAGGTGTTGCAGCCAAGCAGTCCCACGACTACTCTTGTTTTGCACAGACTTTGCTGCCACTGTGCAGCAACTGCAGGTCATTCCAGAGCTGACGCGGTGCTGTGCTGACATTATCTCTTAATTGTGCCAAACCAAGTTGTCAGCAGGCTGCATTTAGCAATCTCAATGACTCTTGCTTGTGCTAACAAACTTGTTAAACGCACAGCAGACGCTTTAAAGGTGGAGGGATGTCTTCAAAGGATCAAGGTGAGCTCAGACCAGCTGGGATTTTATGCATCACAGACTTACATTTCCATAGATAGGAATCAGCTTTATTCACAGCTCTGCAATGATTCCCTTTGGGCTGAACAATGGACGCGAGCCGAGCCATTGCCGCCGAGTGCTTTGTAGGGGAAGTGGCTCCTAAGGACCCACGCAGGGGTCAGAGCCGGATTCCAGCGCGGTAAATGCTGGAGCCGCGCATCTCTGCTCTGCTGGCGTGGAAACAGGAGATCTGTGCACGCTGGGGTGGCACCGTGGTGCGGGCGCTGACCTGCAGCCACCACAGCTGCCCCTATGGGAAGAACAAGTGTTTGAGCCAGTGCGAGAGCAAGCGGGTAATGATCAGAGCAGCGCTCACGGACGGGGCGTGCAGGCAGGGCCGACCGCAAGGGCCGTGGCCGGGGGGAGGTGGGCGCCTTCGGCGGGGCGCAGCGAGGGGAGCGCGGTGAGAGCCGGGCTGTGCTGCCAGCGGGTCCGAAGCGCCCTGCGAACGCGGCGCTGCTCGGGCCGCTGTTTCCATGGAAATCTCAGCGGAGACATCAGCTGATGTCTGCTGCTCCCATCGCTTGGTGTCAGCGCTGCGTCCCCCACCTGCTGTGGTTTCAGTGCTGCCCTTCGTGTGATTCCCGCTTGCTTTTCACGTTCTGCGTTCTCTTCGTTTGTGCGTGAAGGGAATTGAAGGTGACTGAGAAGCAGGGAGGATCTCAGGGCTGCGGCGCTGCGTGTCGAAAGCGGAGCCCCGCAGCTGCTGGGGATGCTTCAGCTCTCCAGGCGGAGCTAATATTAGCGCTTGTAAATGCCCAGTGAAGCACGTTCTCCTAAACGATCTCTTTTGTATTATTTTCACTTGTTCAGTCTTTTGAGGGGGAGAGACGGGGTGAAACAGGGCAGTTATGGGCTCTTGGACTTGTGACAAAGCCCTGTTGAATAATTAATGCTTCGGTCGGCTTTTCAGATTCAGACTTCAGTTGTTCGTGGCTCCTCTCTGCGCAAAGTGCCGCCGCGGTGGCACGAGTCCCCCCGTGCTCCCGAGATGTCATTAAAGCACGCCCATTAATTGTAAGGGACACCGTAAAGCCCAGCAGCTGTCGATGCCTGTGCAGAGGCGTGGAATAATTTCGCAGCCCCAAAATAGTGTCAGTGGGAAAGAATAAACCCCACCTGTGCTGGGTATGCGCAGCTGGGAGCGGGAGGTCTGCAGGTCGGATGGTGCTCAGCTGCTTTCCAGTGCAGGCAGTGGGGATTCACGGGGGCCTTTTCTCCTTTAGAAAGGGAATGGTGACGTTTTGAGTTCCAAAATGGTGCATCGGTGCCTCCTGCTCATAGCAGTGTGGTTTCCTCTGCCCGCATCGCACAGCTCGAAGGAGTTGTGTCCTCCCTGGGTGCACACAGAGCTCTGCTCTGCCATCTTCGTGTGCATCAGCTCCTCCTCCCTCCTGTGGGAACCGAATGCTGTTTCTGCATTAGAACAAGATGAGAATTTTTGTAATTTCGTGGCCTCTGCTACCCTTTGGGTCCTTTATTAGAGCTGATAGTTCTTTTCAGGGGTCCTTCTACTTCACTGGGGTTCTCTGATAGTTTTCATTACTCATTCTTTAGATAATCCTTCCCCAGCAGCACGTGCTCCCAATGTAAGTAATGCATGCACACCTCCGGAGTTTAGCAGATGGAGGAAGCTGTGAGCACAAAGGCTGCAGCTCCTGTCTGTCCAGCCATCTGAAAAACTTCTGGGCCTTCAGCTAAAGGCAAGCGAGATGTAACAAATGCCTGCACAAATCAGAAACCCCTTGATGTTCGAAAATGGCTGGGTTTTGGTGCTGGACAGACAGGACCTGAGCAACAGGGAATTAAAGGGGGAGAAGCGAAATAATTAACTACATACATATGTAAGCTAGCAACAAGTTACGTATAGCCAGCATGAAAATAGTGTTACACTTTGTGCAGGGCTATACTGCTGTAATTAAAAGGACAAGTGGTGATATGCCTTAGGGAGGGCCTGAGGAAGGTTTTGAGGAAGGTCTGGCAGCCCCCCCACCTTTGTTTAACAAAGAATTGGAAGAAAATCACCACATCAATACGACAAGAAGGGCATTGAGACGCCTTGGGAACAGCAGGATGGCTGCTGGCTGGCACCAGATAGCACAGCAATTAGCGCATGTAAACCTTGATGAGATTGTGAACCTGGGTGCCTGCAATGGGGAAACGGGAGGGGGGAGGTAGGGGGGGAAGCAAGGTACAGAAGCTGTCACTGCGGCCCTAGGGTGCTGTTTGTGGGATGCCCATCGCGAGAAAATCTGCTTTTATCAGAGATGCCATCCTGACAAATTATTTGGATATTTCCAACACTTCTTCCTCCCTCCGTTCTCCCTCTTCTCCCTTTTTCTTGCCCCACTTTGTTAATGCACTTGCCTCTTGGTTTTTGTTTTTTGTGCGTTTTCTTTCCCTACACAACAAAACAACCAGCAGCCGATGTTTTACCTTCTTATCTTCAGCTGGGAGGAGCACGGAGAGCAGGAGAGCAGGAGAGCAGGAGAGCCATTCCCTTTGGCCCTGCTCTCGGTGTAGAGGCAGAAACGAAGAGGCAGCGCAAGGAAGGAGGCGGAGTGGCAGCAGTGAATGACCTCCATGAGTTTGATGTTGTTCTCACTTCCTCTTCGCAGTTGGTCGGGTTGAGCGTCTCCAATGGGAAGGACCAGCTGGTGGTTTTCCACACGAAGGACAACAAGGATCTCATCGTCTGCCTGTTCAGCAAAGAGCCGTCCAACGACAGCAGGGTTGGGGAGCTGGTGGGCGTCCTGGCCAGCCACTTCAAGAGGTCGGTGCTGCACACTCACTATAGCCAGATCCAAACTCACCACGAATTCCTGTTGGTGTCACCCCTGATTTTTTATCCGTGTTCCTTCACTACTGCTGGGATACCAGAGCTTTCATTCCTTGTGTTTTTCAGACTATGCTTTGTTTGCCCCTTCTGGCTCTATATGTGTCCATTAGAGCACGGATATTTGGGGACAGGTACCACTGAACGTGCATTTTAAGTGTGTCGACTCAAACAGCACTTTAAGGTCAAGCTCTTAACGCCTAGAACTAAAACGCAGCTCTTCCTTCCTCAGATTGTTTCCCCTGCCCCCAATGTCAGTGGATGATTTAGTGCTTGAGCTGTAAGACGGCACCTGGTTCCCTGCAGATCACCTTGCAAAATGTGCTTTAGTGGTGGGCAGAGCCCTGCAGTGGTTGCTGTGCGTGGAGCTCCGGGAGGTCGAGCTGAACAAGCGAGAAGCACCGTTGTTTCTTGCAGTGAGTTTGGAACTGCCCAAAAGCTGCACAGCACTCACTGCACTGCAGTGCACAATTAACCCTCTAGACACAGCGTGGTGTGAGCAGTGGACAGGCCCACAGGGTTGAGCTCTTGCTCCTGCAGAGCAGATTTGTGTGAGATTCGGTGCTGATCAGCATCACCTGCAGCACTGGTTCTTGTGTTTCTCAATATCTGTTCCAATTATCACCCGCTAAGAGGACTCTTTGTGGGTAAATGTTCTTATAGAGCTGTGGTGGAAGGGTGGTGAGAGTGAATTTAGGTTGTTAGGTTCCTAAAAGCCACTTTTTCTCTGTTGTCTGATAGAGGTTTGGGGTTTAACAGCAATGTGCAGGAGCAGCTCCCAACACCCAAATATCACGCTGTCCCTCATCGAAGCAATATCTGGAAATCAAAAGAAAAGTGACAAAGTTCATGTGCTCACAAAATCCCACTGGTGGATGGGATTCGCTGACCCGCTGCTCGAGAGCCACTTTGGGAATTCCTCAAGAAATAGGATTTGCAGTCACTGTGTGGCACTGCCAGGTTCCTCTGCATCCAGCAGGGAGTCTTTGGGCAGCCAAGGCTGTGGGGACCTCCAAGGGGACTTGGAGCAGCCCTACTCTGTGCTATGGGGCGGCTTCCCGGGGGACAGCGGCTCTTGTTTAGGATCCTCTCTGAGTGTGGTTGCAGCCATCCTTGATAGCACTGTGCGAGGTGTTAGCAGTGTTAAAAGAGCAGTCAAAGCAATCCCTGCAGAATTCCAGCAGCAAATCACTCGCCTAAGGATAATTTTATATTTCCTGTTGCACGCTGAGACCCGTCAGCCTATTTTAATCATTAGTGCACTCTGGATTAATTGTCTTTAGTGCTGGCTGCTTAAACGGGCTTCCCTAGAGCACTGCAAAGCTATTGACATCAGCAGTTCATGGAAGGGGCAACAGGTCAGGGCTGCGGTCCCCTGGTGGTTGGCCATCCTGAGCATGGCACACCTTGAGGAAGGTGACAGCTTTCCTCATCACCTGCATTCAGAGCTGTTTCTGCTCCATGGGGGCATTCTGGGACGTCTGAAAGGTTGAGCAGCGAGGTTGGGTTGTTTGTAGGTTTGGTGGGGAGCAGCTGAGGGCTGTTTGTGGGTTGGGCGCTTTGGTGATTTTGGTTTGTTGGGTCGATGGAAGGCAGCGCCCTGGGAGCAGCCATCTGCTGTCAGTTGTGTTGGGGTAGAGATGGGCTTTTGTACATTTCTTGATGCTATCCATTGAAAACAACAAAAGCCAGACAAAAACCAAAGAGATTCAACGTGTTGTAAGAGAAGAGGGACCCAAAGAAGAACCCAGGCTGGGATTTGGAAGCTCACGGTGGTGGTGTGCACTTAGCCCATGGTTCTCTGCACAAAAGGAGTGTGTGACAGCTGTGCTGCCACATCAGTCCGTCCCTGGAGCTGGGGGCACGCGGTGCTGCTCGTCCTGTGCTGGCAGTGGGTGGAGGAGCACTCCATAGCTGGGGTTTGCATCCAAACTGGGCTTTCTGCAGGCTGGATGTGATCAAAAGGAGCTGAGGGCTGCTTCAGCAAAGCAAACTGCTTCTGAATCGCTGCTGCACACGATTTATCCTTTGTCAGCAGTGCCAGCCAACCCATGTTCAGCTCCCATTCAGCCGTGCCAGTGGCTGACACCATTGTTGGGGCGGCTGCAGGCTGACAAAGGAGCAGACTTTATTCACAGCAGATTCTCCCGTAGCGTTTTTTTTTCCAGCGGGGCATAAATAGCTTTGTTTTTGTACAAGATTTCTATTCATAACCGTGCTTTGGAGCCCGCAGTTGCTGTCGGGTTGAAGCACCAGGTACTCATCTGTGTGCTGGAAAAGGCGGCTTAATTCCTCCCTCATCACCCTTGTGCTTGAATCCAAGGAAACGCAGCTGCCGTTTGCCTTGAGCTGAGTTGCAGTCGTTCTCATCATCTCTGCTGATTCCTGTGCAGGTTTGCTGACCACGCTGCAGTCACTCGGGTTGAGGAATGGCAGTTTTTCTTTGGGAAATACATTGCTTAGGGAGCAGATCTGCTGTCTTTATGCCCCGTGTCACCACACAGGAGTCCGAGCACTGTGATGAGGAGCACTCCTGATGTTCTCTTGTAATTTTTTATTATTTGGGAGGGGTTTCTTCAGCTGTTGGTGCTCCTGAACTTTCCGGGAGCTCTTCCTGCCTGGAAGGGACTCATAAGGAGGTTGGAAGAGGATTGTTTCTTTCTTAAAACTCGTTCTCCCAATGCTGCAGCACTGCTCATTCACGTCTCCAGAATGGAGTTGGAACCCCAGACCGAGGAAACCCATCTCACATTGCAGGGTGGTTTTTTATGACACTTGTCAGCATATCCCTGGCACAGCGAGGATGACTTTGTCTCCTGCAGTCCTGGGTTTGGGCTGAGGCTGAGCTGAGCTCTGGACAGAGCAGGGCTCTGCACAAGAGGCAAAGTTCAATCTTGAACTCATCAATCCTCTGTTTGAGTCCTTGACCTCTAAATCGGGAAGTAAATGATTGTGTCTGAGCACACAATGGTAGCAGTTTGTTGTGTTTTATGATATTGTGAGGATGAAGAATTTTGCTCCTGGGATGGAGGTGTTTATGGAGAGGAGTTGCTGCAGCTCGAGGGGCATTGCAGGAGGTTGGCTTTCCCCACAGTTGGTTGCTTGGCGTTCTCTGAACTGATGTTATATATTGGGGATATTGAGGTGTTCCTTAGGGCACTTCAAAAACAAAAACTCACAGAATGGTTGGATGAAGGGACCTCAGTGACCACCCAGCTCCAGCCCTCCTGCTCCAGAAATGGAGGATTTCTGCACTAACTGTAATTCCTGAGAGATGGTGCCCACTTGATACGCTGCTCTCTGCGGTGGTGCTTTGCCTTGCTGGCCTTCTGCAGAGCGCTCCCTGAGGTGCCCGTCTCCACGCAGGGCTCAGGCAGATGCATCCATTCTGTTCCTGTCTGTCCGTGGTGAGACTGGAAGGATTCCCCATCTCCGGGGTGGCTGAAGATAAATCCTGCCTGTTCCTGGACTGTCAGTGGTGGGAGGGTGGAACTGGAAGGGCTGTTTGTGGTCTGGGGGATAATTAGCATCTAGGAGCTGTGTTACTTGGCGTGCAGCATCCTAGAGCTGAGCGTCCAACCCCACCCTGCTCCTGTCTGGCTGTTCCAGGTGCCGTCACGCTTCCAAATGTGAACGGTTCACTGTTTCAGAGCACGTCTTCTCTCCTATTATCACGCTGTCCGAGGACCCGTCTGCCCCCAGCAGCTGCCCTGAGCTGGGATCTGCAGAACCTCAGCCACCGAGACCTGCTGTGTTTGGGTTTGTTTAGGGAGGGCTGGAGCTCGTGCTGTTTGCCATGGAGAGGGGATGCTGTGTTGGGCTGCAGGAGGGATGGGATCTGCTGCGTTCCACAGGTTGGAAACAATGGAAAGAAATGTGCATTTTTCTCTTGAAATCTTCGAATATTTGATAATTTCATCAGAAACATCAGTTTGTTCTTTTTCCCCCATATTCTTGCATAAAGTATCATAAAAGCACACATTAACACATTTTTCCTTCTAGTTTTCCACTTGGTATCATTGGCAGAGCCCAAATCTTCTCTTCTAAGCCTTCCTTCCTTCTGTGTCTCTCGCCCATGCAGTCTCATCTTACGGCCTCGCTGTTCAAACTGATCTCACATAGGAGCTGTGTTTCTGGGGCTGCTCTTCCAATGGTGATCTGTGACTTTGTGCATAACGACGCCTTTATGGGCAAGGGGTCGGGTTGGGTTGGGCTCTCTGGGAATTTGGGAGCACAGAATTGATGAAATGTGGACGTGGTGAAGACCACAGCGTGATACCTGGCATGACTGAAATGCAGAGGGTTGCAGATTATCCCATGGTGGAAGGGATCATGGAGTCCAACCCCGATGGACAAGGAGCTGAATTTTGGAACGGACTTAAATTGGGTGAGAGCAGCGGGCCTGGACAGCTTGTCTGCAGCCACTCAAAGGAGGCAGTACTGACATGGCACTGGCTGTGCCAAAACCCAACCAAAGCCAAAAGGGAAACTCAGCCTTTTAATTCATGACCAACTGTGGCTTTTATTGCGTATTTGGTCCCAAAAAAGAAAGCGCAGCCTGCAGAATCAAACTCGCAGCACAAAATCAAAGCATACCTTCCTCATATATTGAGCCTGCTGCAAGGCTCTCCTCACAACTTCTGCTTTCCAGTTGTGCTCCTGCACCCTAACATCTGATGGGTGTTTTGTCCATGGCTCTGCTGTGGTGGGCCAGGTCGCTGTTGGGTTTTGTGTCAGTTTTGTGCAAACCAGAAAGGTGTGCAGAAGTGTTGGGATGAATTCTGTGGTGTTTTATTGAGTTGCAGTCGTTGCAGTCCTGCAGATCCCCTGCAGATCCCCTGCAGATCCTGCAGTTTGGCGTGGATTTGCTATTGCTTAAGCGTTGCTTTTTCCCTCCCCTTTTGCAAAGGAGAGGTGTGAGGATGATCCAAAGTAAA